GGAAAAGGCTGCCAAAGATTGAGGGTGCAACTGCTTTTTCCTGCTGTTGACGCTTCACCGACAAAAATTGCAACAACCGGAGTCCTCTCTGCCAGATGTTTTGAGACCTGACAACTCTTCCAGCTCTGGGCTTTCCTGAAACGCCGCCGCTTTCTCCGCCGACGCGCTTGCAGCAATTGCGAAGGTCGTAGCTGGGATAGGGTGGAGAAGGTTCTAAGGTGACGATGCCGGTGAAGCCATTTGTATTTATCTCCTCAGGGAAATATGTTGTTCTTTGACATCGCTCACTATCGAAGGCCTGGAATTCTAGGCTGTAGCATGTGGAGTATATATCCTGTACCTACAAAATTCATTGCTTGTGCATGTACGTGATGAGTTGTTAGCTGTAAATTCAGTCTTTCTGGGTTTTCGGGCTCATTTAATTCTTTGAGTCGTAAATGAATGTGTCCTAGCTAGCAAGAAGCCAGGATTTAGATTTTTGGTTACTTGTTCATCTTACTTAGATGTTTCTTAGTTACTTAGATGTTTCCTCACCAGAAGCAAAATCGTCTACTTAAAAACTTCATGGCTGAACACCACGAAAACCGAATTGTTCTGTCATCACAAAGAGAGGATTGTACCCCCAGGAGGGAATAAGCAGCAGGTGCTAATGAGGTGCCGGGAGAAAGAGATCCTGGTTTGTTCCTGTTTCCAAATATTTTAAATAATAACCTAATAGCTTGGCAGTGCTCAGTTAACAGTTGGACTTGATGATCTTCAACGTCTTGTCCAACCTAAATGATTCTACGATTCGGAAAGCACCCACCGGTCCTGCCAGGATGTTCCACTTTCGTACTTGAGTTGTATGGAACATGCCACCTCAATACAAATCTCCGACGTCTGGGACAGTACATTTGTTAGTTTATCCCCATTTTGCCGAAGCGGCACCAGCTAATCAATACAAGGAGACAATGGCCACAGCCGGCACGCGGCTCCGTTCAGCGTAGCTAGCGCCAGGATGGTCAGAGATGTTACGACGTGCTCCGCTGTTCATAGATCCAAGCCCTCTTCTTTCAGGGTTTGCTGGGGAATAGAGGCAGAAGGTAACGGAGGCTCTGCTAATAACGTTCACATCCTCGAGCTGGCGTGCAGAGCTTTACAGTCAGGCTGAAAAAAAGCTTGATAATACAAACATTTTTATAAAATGCTTCAGTCTTCTAAGGAGGTTCTGGATGCTGTCTATTGGTATACAGAAATAAAGCCTTTCCTTTTTTTCAAGGTGGAAAGGAAGAGTGAATTAGCATGCAAATTGCTGCTGCCGCTTATCTGGCCGTGACAAGCACAAGGTTTAACAACTTGTGCTTGCCTAAAAACCAAAAAAAAATTAATGTGACTTCATAAAAGGTGTTTACTTTTAGCTATTATTTAGCAGAACTGGCCAAAGTCTTTCAGCAGAACAGTGTTTCCATTGGAAAGTGCTGAACAGTAGAGGTTAAAACTAGTCAGGTAAGGATTTAAAAATAATTCAACACCACTGATAGCCTACCTCTGACACATGTCCTGCCTCCCCACCGCCCCCCGTGCAACTCCATCCCAAGGGACTGCCGCAGCGCGGAGGAGACGCAGTGTGGTTCACCCGGCTTCACGCGGCCGTGGGCAATTGCCATCCACGCCAGCGCCCAGCCTGGCATCCGCACGTAAACGTGGAACGTGCTGCTTGGGTGGCGTTAATCTTCCAGATAAAGTTTGTTAAATTAATTGGAGTAAGAGAGCGCGTGAATACCGTGTTGGTATTACAGCCACTACTGTCGCTCTACAGCTGACGTGTTCTGATGCGCGTCGGTTGGAAGACAGACGGACATTTTATCTGCTCAGTGTTAATTAGTATAGCTATTAGATCTGCATGGAAACAAACAAACAAAAAAGCTTGTTTTCATGTTCTGCAAATGCTAGTTCTGCAATTATTTCTGATTTGTCCTCAGGCTAATGTCATGGTAGCATGGTGGAGCAGTGCTTTAAGGTGGGGTTGGTTGTTGTGTGGGTTTTTGAGTTGGTTTTGTTGCTTGATTGTTGGTTTTTGTTTTTTTTTTTTAACGCAATTCTCTTTCATTGGGAGAAGAAGGAGAAGAGAGGGTGTCCTGGTTTCGGCTGGGATAGAGTTAATTTTCTTCCTAGTAGCCAGCATAGTGCCGTGTTTTGGATTTTAGTAGGAGGAGAATGCTGATAACACATTGATGGTTTAGTTGTTGCTCAGTCCTGCTTATGCCAGTCAAGGACTTTTCAGCTTCCCATGCTCTGCCAGGGGCACAAGAAGCTGGGAGGGGGCACAGCCAGAAGAGTTGATCCCAACTGCCCCAAGGGCCATTCCATACCATACGGCGTCATGGGCAGTATAGAAACTGGGGGGGTTGGCCGGGGGGCTGTGATTGCTGCTCGGGGACTGGCTGGGCATCAGTCGGCGGGTGGTGAGCAACTGCATTGGGCATCACTTGCTTTGCATATCGTTATTATTATTATCATTATTATACTGCTCCTATTAGCATTACTATTTTACTTTATTTCAATGATTAAACTGTTCTTATCTCACTCCAGGAGTGTTTCTCACTCTTACTCCTCTGATTCTCTCCCCCATCCCACCGGGGCAGAGGCAGTGAGCGAGCGGCTGCGTGGTGCTGAGCTGCTGGCTGGGGCTCAACCACGACAGAGGGAAAAGTCAGTAGCCCCTGGCTTAGGTACCCACCCTGAATGTGTAAGCCTCAGGCCCGCCCCTGCCGCAACTGACTGACGCGTGCTCTGGTCCCGTACCTCCCGTGCTCCGGGTGCAAGCGCTGGTCCGGCCGGTGGGCACCCTTCCGGTCTCGGCAGGGAGTTCAAGGGTGCCTCCCTTGGGCCCTTTTTGTCCCTTCCTCTGGCAGGTTCCATGACTCTGAATTTCGGCAAATACAGAAACCGCTTCAACGGATGGTCTCTCTGCTACGCGAGAGGTAGCAGGAGGACTCCTTTGACGGCCGTGAAGGTAGCGCGCGAGCAAACACGAAGAGCGGGGATGCTGCGGCAGCGCGACCTGTTACGCTAGCCAGAGATCCAGCTGCGGTAACAGGATTGGTACGGATTTATATTGAATAAATTTACACTGGCAACAAAACAGACTCTTCCCAGTAGTTTCTGTGCATTACAAGGACCTAAGACATGACAGAATTTCACCCTACGTTTTTCTTCTCTATCTTTCCTCTGGTTGAGAAACTCTCAGTAGTGGGCACTGAAAAAGTAACTGACTGTAACAAACAGCCTGGGCCATATTTGAAGGAAAATTCCACAGTTTCAAGCCCAATAAAATAACTGGAAAACATGGCTAGATACCCTTTGAAAAACTATTAACCACGGTTTAAAAAAAAAAAAAAATTGTATCTGGTATAACAGACTGATACTTACCGATCAGCGTTGAATAGCAGAATTAAAAAACAAAAAAAACCAAAAAAAAAAAAACCCACAGGGAGCTGGGTACAGAGGAATTATAATTATGATAGTTCAGTTAAGGTGCCCAAACGGGTGCTGTTCCTTTTTATGCTGCACTGGCAGTAAAAGAGAGTGAGCCGTTATTTCTACATTTAACACTTGTACATTTTTATTTAGTTAAATCAGCCATTGTACACATTGCAGCTATGTATTGTTAGTGTTGTATTTTTTTTTTTAAAGTTTTAACTAATACATGCCCTCATAGATATATTCAATTAGTGTTATCACCATGGGAACAAGATGCTGATTCGTCAACTTAAAATTCACTTCTTCTCACAGTATTCAAGTTCTTTGATAACACAGCAAAAAATCAAAATAAGAGGTGAATAACCATTATGTTGTTACACAGAACATCATCTGCACCGCAAATAACACAACAGAAATGCATTTCTTTAGAGCCCCATCCTTGAAGATCATCCTCCGCTGTCTCCGACAATAAGAAAGCCATGATGCGCTGTGAAATGTTTCATCATGGGTCTCGTTCGGTTTGGCTGCCAAAACACTTTTTTTTTTTTTTTTTGGTTGTGTGTTTTTGTTTTTTGTTTTTTTTTTTTTTTTTTTTTTTTTCCTTTCCTTCCTGCCTGCCAAAAAAGTGTTAGCATGGCACCTTGGGTTGTTTTGCCTGCAGGAAGCCAGAACTCCCAAGATGTTTTCATGCTTTTGGCATCGTTACCTTAATGAGGAAGTGCCCTTGTTCTGAGCACTGAGTGAGTCGTTAAAAAAACCAAACAACCCTATAATCGTAGGAGGCCAGATAAGCTTCGAAAAAGTATTACTCCTAGAGGAGAGGATGTGTTTTACTCTGCTTTTGAGTATACTCTTAAAAAAATCAAATAGCTGTTTAAAAACATTGCGTTGCGTGCGTGTATTATATATGCTAAAACACTGCAGAGCTCCCTCCGTTAAATATTAAGGTATAGAACACCCAAAATGTCAGATCTCTGTGTTCCCTTTTTTGAAAAACAAAAGTGCAGACATGCTATCATGGTTTTCAGAGGGTTGGTTTAGAAATATATATATATTATATATATAGATAGATAGATAACAAAATATGAACAGAAACTGGCTTTCAAGGATTGTGAGCACTTTTTAAAAAACACTTGATTGGAAGATAAAAACTGCTCGCTCAGTGCTAAGAGGGCTAACAAGCTGACATGATATTATAGGAGGGTTTGGCTTTGACCTTCAAATGCCACATGCATGTATCGGATAAGAGGCAATCTGGATAAAACACGGTGAATTACTTATTCTCCTTGTATAGTGGGTAAGTCTTTCTCCCATAGTTATCTACAGTGCAGTGGCCAGCAGGAAGTACCACCAATAAGACAGTGTGGTTTGCTAAGCGGTGATGAAAACAGGAAACTACTGTAGTTATAATTGTTTAATACACCCTGCCACATGTCCAGATCTAAAAGATTTTAATACCGTATGCAAATGTGCCATAGATATAGCTGCTAGCAAGTTGGTTACCTAATTGGGTATTTTTTTTTTTTTTTTTTTTTTTTTTTTTTTTTTTGGAAATCTTTAATGGGCTGTCCGAAGGTCTTAGAATATTAATGGCCACAGTCAGCTGCCACTTCATGAGAACAGCTGAATTTCCAGGTTTTTAGCCTGACTCTTAGAGCCTTTAACTATAATAGATCCCTAAACTGGAAGTCTTATGGATGCAGTAGAGCTGCAGCGCTTCCTCCTTAGTCAGTCTGTGTTTGCAGTCGATTGTGTTAACATCATTTTATTAATCGCTCTTCAGCAGCGTCGATAGACCTTGTAATCCATGATGCTAATTGTAGTCATAGGCAGTGTGTTTTCTGCAGTCTCGTAAGTCCAAATACTCTTGCTATATACAGTTTACACGTTAACTCCCTTCTTTTATGATGCATGTACATAGTCACTCGAAGAGGCCTGTAGATGAAGTTGGCTTGACAAATGCAATTTCATGAAGCTAGTGCAGAAGCAAAGGAACAGCAAGAAGTGGCGATGCTGACAAATTCCCAGTACGGCACAAAGACGACAATTCGGTGGATAAATCATCCTGAATGAAGGATGCTATCTTTGGTCACAAATTAGCTTACAGGGTAAAAAATAACAAAAACCCAAAATCAAATACGGGGCGGGGTGTGGGTGGGGAGAGAAATGAATTCACTGCACCTGCACAAGTAGAAATGGCAGTGTCTTCCAGTGATTATGTAGGTCATAATGTCTACACCTAGAGGAGATGAGTGCTGCATACGGGACGGATGGTTACGCGGTGGTGCTGGGGGGTGGCAGCTTCTCACTTCGCCTCCTGTTTCCAGTCCTCTTTGCAGAAGTGTCTAAGAAGCTGCTGGAGGTCATGTTGGAGGGCATCCTGTGGTAGTGCTTCTGGTGTGTCTTCCAGCTCTTCTATGTGAACATGTTTTCCGTACCGATCCTTCATCACAGTCCTCTTCTGTGTGCTGGCTTTACTCAGTGTTGTCCTAAAACAAAATAGATGAGAAAACGGTCTTAAAAAGCCCACAGTTCCTGAAGGTTTTAAAAAATTGCTCCTTTTCAGCTGCGGTTTTAAGGCTTTTTCATTCAAAATAACGTGAGAAGAACTGTAGCTGGCAGTTTAAGGCAGCTACTGAGGTCAGATATTCGTTACGCATTCTGAATACAACACACGCCACCGCTTCAATTGGCTTTCGTACTGTAAACTAACAGCAATTAATCTCTATGCGCTGATTAAGCATACAGTTTTAGACGGCCAGCAAAAACATGCTGTAACACACGGACATGCAACACATGTTGAAACTCACACAAGACCTGCCTATTTGCTGTATTTAACTTCCAACCTACAGAGTTGTCCTGTACGATAGTAATTTAAGCTGATAAATTTCTTGAACACTTACTTCTGAACAAGTCTCACCTCTGACAGCCAGTAAAACTACATTTGTGGTACTCTAGGGTCCTCAACTATTCTGTTAATTACTCTCTTACCTCATTGGAACCATCTTGCTCTACTAGTCAGAACCTTAAACCTCACCAAGTCCCTTCCGGATCTAAGCAAATAAATGCAGTTGCCGTAGGACAGCTGGGTGTCTCTGCCTGAGCCTTACCCACAAACCCAATTTTTGGTCCGCGTCCTTGGGAGACGACCATAGGAAGCCAAGCACACTTGGAAACTCCTGCGTGCTCAGCCAGGAATAGCCCAATTTTTATCAGACAGCTGACGCTTCTTAATTTGACCTGAACGACCAAAAGGTCCCACCGTTAGATGGAGCACTTGGACAAGAACGCGCACCCTTCATCCAAAAGCAGATGCAGCAGGTCTTCCGGCTCTCAGCGTGTCCTTGTGACACCGTCCCCGTAACTCCGGAACTGGTATGTGTTTTACAGCTTGTTACCATTACAGACACAGTTCGGTCAGGATGTTTTTTCAAATGCTAACACTGGCTTTACCACCCCGATGGCCACTATCGATTCAAATGGTCTGAAAGAAAAGGTGTGTAAAAGATACCTAGCCTGTAGCAGCCTTGGATCAAATTGTGTGTGGCAGGAATGAATACACTTGCTGTACTACAGTAGCGTCTTTTTTTTTTTCTCCCAAATATTTTCCTATCTGCCCTGCCTCATTCTTCATAAGGCTCAACTGTCACATGCATGTATCTATATACAGATATATATAGATATATCCTCTATATATCCTCTATATATCCTCTCATCTATTTTAGTAATGTTCAAATTATCAAATGATCACAGAGTCAACTGGTATGAAAAAACATTTTTTGAAGTACCCTTGATTCATGTTGTCAACTGTAAATCACGCCGTTATTCTTGTACCGCCCCTTTGTACTGGATCTGGCCAGGATGCAGTTAACTTTCTTCATAGCAGCCTGGGTGGTGCACTGTTTTCCATTTGGGTCTAAAATAGCCTTGAGAACGGACCAATGCTTTGGCTACATACAGCTGAACAGCGCTTACACAGCATTGAAACTTTATCTTCTTTTCCCCGCTGGCCCCCTCAGTGAGTAGGCTGAGGCGGGGGGCAAGAGGTTGGGTGGGCATACAGCCAAGACAGCTGACCCAAACTGGCCAAAGGGATATTCTGTACTATATAGAGTCATGCTCAGCAATAAAAACAGGGGGTACAGGAAGAAACTGGGGGGTCGGGAGGTTATATCTTCCAAGGTGACCATTGCTCAGTGACTGGCTGGCTATCAGTCCGCTTGTGGGAGGTGGTGAGGGATTGCATCACTTGTTTGGTTGTTCTTACAGAATCACAGAATCGTTTAGGTTGGAAAAGACCTTTAGGATCATCCAGTCCAACCATTAATCTAACACTGCCAAGTCCACCACTAAACCAGTTAAGGTGAGAGTAGTAATTTCATCTTTCCTGGCTCGGTTGCTGGATTATTCTTTAATGAAAGTAAAATACTAGGAATCATTAAGGTTGGAAAGGACCTCTAAGAGCATCAGTCCAACTGTCAACCCAACACCACCATGTCCACTAAACTATGTCCTAAAGTGCCAGGTCTACCTGTTTTTTGAACACCTCCAGAGACGGTGACTCCACCACCTCCCTGGGCAGCCTCTTCCAATGCTTGACTACTCTTTCTGTGAAGAATTTTTTCCTAAAATCCAATCTAAACCTCCCCTGGCACAACTCGAGGCCATTTCCCCTCGCCCTATCGTTATCTACTTGGGAGAAGAGACCAACACCCACCTCACTACACCCTCCTTTCAGGTAGCTGTACAGAGCGATAAGGTCTCCCCTCAGCCTCCTCTTCTCCAGGCTGAACAACCCCAGTTCCCTCAGCCGCTCCTTGTAAGACTTGTGCTTCCCTCTTTCCTTCACTTAGTAAACTGTCTTTATTGAACCCATGAGTATTGTCACTTTTGCTCTGCCCATTCTCTCCCCCGTTCCAAGGTGGGGCAGGAGGTTTAGGGAGTGCCTGCCTGGTGCTTTGCTGCTGGCCAGGGTGAACCCACCACACCCCTATTCACCAAGTCTTTTCAAGTGAATGTAGACCTTTCCCGCATATATATCCCTTCCCGTAACAGAATGTTAGTAGTAATCTTTAGGACTTTTGCAAATAAAGCTTTAGATGCTGCCAGTGATTTCACTTCAGACACTCACTTAAATCCACTCATTTATTACGAGTTTGTTAATCCTTTTCTAGTAACAGTTCATTGACATGCCAAGCCAAACCTTTTAATAACCGATCCGTCCTCTTTCATGATTTCTTTCTCTACTAAAGCAGGGAGCTGGACGTTCATTTGGTTACCTGCATAGCTCAAAGCCTCGAATTAAAACATAAACTTCAAATTAAAACAAACCCGAAAACCTAGGACAGAAGATAATTGCTCTTCATACCTTAGTGCTTTATATTAATGAAGTTGAATGCTGAAAGAATGACGAATAGACAAATAAGAGAAGCATCTGCCTGCCACCTGCATCCTTTCAAATATTCCTCAAAGGTACAGATCAGTTACAGTTTCTTGTACAGCGCAGTTTCATTTTACTAATAATTGTACCGAAGCACGTCTTGGTACGTTCTTTTCAACTCTGAAGTAGCCCAACTCAAGGCCTTGCAGTACCACGCTTGCAGAACTCACCCTTCGCGTCCGTTTACGACGGCTGCTACAGCAACCTTTTTCCTGTCACCGAAAATACTCTTTCTTTTATGGGTGGCAGTTCCCACTGCCGCCTTGAGCTGCCTGTTCTCGGTGCTAGCAGTACGGAGATGGGTATACACAGAAATGATGGGTGATACTTCCGAGCCTCGACTGTACTGAAATGGGAGAAGCAGGGAATGGAGCCCACCAAACTTTTCTACAGAATATCTGCTGTTACTAATACTTCATAGGAAACAGAAAAAATAGAAAAAAAGGCAGCATTTTTATTTTCCTTTTGGCTGGATGTGGGTTTGTCTGTGGTATCTTCCGCAGGCTTCCTCATTTACTAAACTAGAAGCTGTAAGCTGGGAAAAAAGTGTTATTTCCCAAGCCATTTCTTTGAATCTCTACACGATAGTTTTTGCTGCTTGTTTTGTTACTGACAGGAGAGGGGGATCTGGCTGCTGGGCCTATGCTCGTAACAGGAAATTTGGCATGTCAGTCTAACAGCTTAGGGCTTGTGGTCTTCCTGCAAGCTGTTAATACCGTTGTATGGCAGAAAATATCCAGACCATGACATCGTTGCGTCTATGTTTTTATATGATATTTTGTCAAATTAAAAAAAAAACAAACCAAGTACTTCTGTTTCATCTAATGACACAAAGCTTTTATCCACGTGCATCTTTAAGATGTGTTTTACACGTCTTATTCAAAGGGACAATAAAATGGATTAAGAGGGAAGTGCTATCAGTTGCTTATAGAAAAAGCTGTATTAATTCAGTATCACTTTTCTATTACTGACATGTCTAAAATGATCAGAAAAAGCATAAAACCAGGAAAGGTGCCAATTAGCTATTTCTTCCTTTCAAGGACAAATACATCAACTTATCCAGAGAGTGGACTTAACTGTATCAATTTCTAAAATTAGCTCCATGGGTGCTAACACAGGAATCAACTTTTTCTTTAACAGTAACCACATCCATGATTTCTAACAACTTTACTGAAAGACTCCATGGGCTTTTTTAAGAATCTTAAAACGTTTCATAGCTAATTCCGTAACGTTAGCTTCCCCCCACCCCCACGCTTTATATACTAATCCTTTTATAACATGGCTGAGTATAACAACAGAGGTTTATACTCAGTAGTTGAGTATGGTGCTCCACCAACAAAATTTTCAATAGAGTAGGCTTTGGCCTATGTGTGTTGTGACACTTGTTTCAATATTTATATTTAAAAGGCATTTTTACCTCTTCAAAGTCCTCTTTGGCTGACGGAAGATCAGTAGCTAAGCTAGCATCCCCCAGGTGTTTCTCCGTTCTCTCGCCTTGCACTACAGTGGTCTTTATGACTTTGCTGACCTTCCGGCCTTCCACTGGTTCAGACTGGAATTTGGAGGCACTAGGCAAAACAGCAGGTTCAGACAGGGTCACCTGTAAGGTTAGAAAGCAGGAGTATACTGAATGTGGAAGTAGAAGGGATACTAACAAAGCTTTTAGTTATTCCATCATTCTTTCTTAATCATTGCCATAGAGAACAAGAACATAAGAAGTGTCTCGCTTTCTATGTGTACACATCAGAATGGCGAGTGTATATTTTATTACCTGCTTTACCGCTCCAGAATGAGCCCTTGTAAGATACACGCCAGTTCAGACAGCAGGAACAGCCCTGAATAATTTATTCTGCTGAGCAGCTTTATGCTGGCAGGGTGAAACCTGCTTCTGGAACCTGAACTAGTCTGCGGGTAGCGGGGACATCGCTACCCTCCGCCACACCACAGGCTGCCGCGCTGGCTTACCTGCCGAGGCCACTGGAGTTACACCAAGTAACAAGCAGACCTCTTGCCATAGTCACACAGGTAGTTCGAATTAGCGGTATCAGTCCGTATCTTAAAAATGAGTCACACTTGTAAAACCAAGGAACTCTTACAGGAGCAACAGACCAGAATATCAGAATACCACAGGAAAGTCACAAACACGATTTTATTTGGCAAAATACGAATTTAATGTATATGGATTCCATATGATAAAGAGTAGCTCTGGTATGGTCAACCAACTAAAAAAAAAATATTACTGTATTTTCTTGTTACCTTACTCCTAGAGAATAAATTCTGATGCTTAATTCTGGCAAGAGGGAATGGCAATTACGCTCTTAGCATTTCTAATGACTGCTCGTTAAATGTTGCTTTCAACCACAGTACTGCTGAAAGCAAGGCCTATTACTAACTTCTGGCCCTCTGTCACACCCTTAATTTTGCTGACACGAATGTCTGTAGGGCTACACGGTGAACTAAGACGGGAAAAGATAAACTGAAAAGCACTTACCTTTTCAGGTGTTTTTTTCTTTTTAATTACCTGGCACTGCAAACAGTTTGCATGAACGTAATACATTTTTTTAGCCTCTTCAAAGCAAAGAACGCACCAGTAAGTTAAACCTAATATAACTGTATAGTTTTGGAAGGGCTTAGGTGTAGAAACTCAGATCATTTCATTACACCATTCACTAATTTTCTTATTAGAGCAAGAGGTATAACAACAAATACAGATTTGCCATTTATCTGTATGTCGTCTTAGGATGAAGCTGCTTTCTTTATGAATTTGGTACTTCTCATAAATCACAGAATCTGTACCCTGACGTATTTTCAGAGAAAACTGCCCTGTTTCCCTGCCCACCTTCCCACCCCCGACCTTTTCCCTGTCTTTATTCTGAGGCCTTTCCATCTGCAAGAAAACTTTTTGAAATATCATTCAAAACCGAATGTCGTTGGCATGAGTAAGATGCCGTTACTAAGTACGCTGTTGGTGTACCGCTGCTTTGTACCATCGCAAGGGAAGTAGAAGATCTGACCTCTGACTGCTCACTGTCGCTCTTCAGCACAACCCGTTTTACAACTTTGGAGTAGCCATCTCCTTCTTCGACAGTGACAGGTTTTTGTGGCGTTCCTTGCGTTACGACTTCCTCTTCTTCTGTGCCATCTGGAGAAACGTATCGCCGGATGATCTTTCTAGTGACCTGAAGGAATGAAATAGAGCTTTGTCCCAAAAGAATTAACCATAACATTTTTTCCTTCTCATTCTCTATACAGTATTTTCTAGCCAAAGGGCATTTTTTCCTACACAGAAAAACCTACATAGATGGTTCAGTGGTTTAGTCTTTAACACATAGACTCAACAAGTACCTGTAGAGTAAAGCTGCAAGTTGATGCATTCGCCCTACTTAGTTAGGCTACCACTTAGGTTAACTAACCACTTAGGTTACCACTAACCTACTTAGGTTACCACACAGCAAAGCTTCCATAAACTTACTTCACAAGTGGGCACAACATAGATATCGGAATGACTCTCTAAAGCAGTAGTTATTATCAGGAAAAGAGGTATAGTATTTCAGAGAGAAAACATACTCTACAACCGCACAACTGCTAGAAAACATTTTCAGACTGGCGTTTTCAAAAAGGCTTCTGAAAGTAAGAGGTGAGGAGCTTGGCTGTCAAATGCTTAGAAGTAGATTCACAGAAGGACTTGCATATCACATTGTAACACCGATGGTGCTAACCACAGCTGAACTAGTGAGCTAGAATTAACCTACTTAAGAGACTAACCTGGTATTTAAGCTTTCTAGGCATTGGCAAGCCAAAGAGGAGCAGAAGAGAATTACAGGGTTCAAGATGACATAAATTTCTCAGGAGGCTGGGTACGCATCCCTCTGTAGATGACCTGGAGCTCTGCATTTTCGTACGCCTTCCCAGCCCCTTTTGACAAGGTAACATTAAGCAGTCACCTCCCACTTTGTCCAAAAGCTTATTTGCTGTGATCAGCCTGGGTCACCTATATTTAAGAGTCACGCAGGCAGGGGTACTGCCCTCCCAGGCATGGACGTACCCAGAAGAATACAGTCATGCTCATGCGCCCAGGAATACTTGGCTGGGGTTGTTTATTTTCATATAAATTCAAACAGCTTCCAGAGACATACTATCCAACTGAAGGTCTATGATGTGTTCTTGGGAGACAGAAGATGGAGTTTGCCACCAGCAGAATTCAGTGAAGCCCTAGACCAATTCTCTGAGCACTGAGTTGTCAGATAAAGCAAGGAGCACAGAAGTTCCTCTTCCACTTCCCTGCTGTGCAGAATTCACTTTTACAAGCATGGTCTGCAAATGCATATTTTATGAGACCATCACACAAATAAGTACTTTCTTTATCCTTTGTGCCATAAACACTGAACTGTAGGTACAGATACAGAAATTTAGGAACCTGGTCAGGCACAGCTGAGTGGAGATTTTGAAAATCTAAAGTCTGGATTTAGATGATGCTTGCAGACCCAGCCCTCCATTGGCTTCATTATTATGAGCAAACATGATCTTAGATAAAATTGCGGTGTTTTTTTTTTTTAAAAAACCCTTTTTCTCAGAAATGCGGATCTATGCAGAATTTTCATTAGCTTTAAGTGGGAAAATTAACAAAATCTGTCATGTTAAGTTATAAACTGTAATACAGAATGATCTTGCGAATCAAAATAATGCTTCAAACTTCAGAATCTCTCATGAACAGAAATTCTGGTTCCTTCCACGCTCTACTCTTAAAAATCATGCCCCTTCACAAAAGAAAATTTGGCACGTATGTGGATGTATTTATCCTTCCTTTGATAGGACAGTAAGAAGGTAGCAAGGGGCATAACTGACAATACCTTCTTGACCACTGTGTGGCCATGTTCATCTGTATATTGCTCTTCTGTGACTGTTTCTGGTGGCATTTCAGGCATACTATCAGCCTGTATGACAAAGAACAAAGTTTTATGAAGCAAGGCCTTCCTGTAGGTAACTTTAAATAAGCAATTTGAAAACTGATTAATTGGTTAAAGAATGGGGAAAAAAAAAAAAAAAAAGAGAAATGTTAGAAAAAAATTTGTTCTGCAAATAAATACTTAGAAAGGCATGCAAAGAAAAGTTATGCCGCAATGGACAGGCAAATATATGTTAGTTGACTGTGTTGTGTATGGGGCTGAGAAGTCTTCGTCCTCCTCCCAGTGAGGCATCTAACGGAATTTAGAGTTGGGTTAGCAGTATTACTATAATCCTCTCTTCAAGAAAAGGTATTGGAACGGCTTATCCAACATCCATGCATTATTCAGGAGCATTCTAGCTTCAGATGCAATACCAGCTAAGCGGCTGTCCCGGCAGCACGCCCAAAGGTGTTACCAGGACCTAGTCACCACAGGCTCGTGCAATCGTTCAACACTCAGTACCTGAATAATCACCCGGCGACGAACGACCCTGGTAGTGACCATCTCGTCCTCATCCGAGCTGGTCTCCAGCCCGCCTAACTCCTCTGCTAACTCCTAGCGGAAGCACGGAAGCAATGCTCTGTTGTATGTGGTACGAGCAGTACTTACAGGTTCTGTCTTCTTTTTATCTAAAATCATCCTCACTTCTGAAAATTTTTGCTTTTAGGATTTTGGTCTCTTACCTGACGTTAACCTGTGAAGCACTGATGCGGGGTGGGAGGCTTTGGCCACTTGACTATACATTAGCTGTTCATTAGCATATTGAAAAAAGAAGGATGAATCTTTGCGGTACTAATTCTATAGGATGCTCTTAGTAGTCTTAGTGCTCTTAAGGTTGCCATGGACAAGCCTGAAATTTGTGGCATGACATCATTGCAGGTGGACTAGAAGGTATTACTAACACCAACTCTGGAATTCATACATATTGCATATGGTTTCTGTATTAATTCCACAGAAAATGATACGAAAGCCTTTTAATCCTCCATACCGGGAAATACGTAGTGCAGCATATAGACAGTAGGACTAAACAGTTTTAACTAGAGGACAATGTATCAATAGCCTTGGCACTGGAAAGATCAAGAAAAATCAGTAACAAGTGTTGAAGTTGTTCTTTCCCCTGCATAGGGAAGAATTAAAAATTTAAATAAAGAGGTCAGAAGGCAAAGAGAAGCTGAAAACAAGTGCTTGGGAAATATCAACAGTATAAAAGCATAAAGGGGAAAATAAATAAGGGAGGGTGGGTGTTTCTTTTTGGTGGTGCTGGTTGTTGTTGTTTTACTTTAGTAAAAGAACTGGAGGGAAAAATAAGTACATTATCTTTGAGGGCAGCCTTTCCTACAGCAGCCACTGCATTGAGTCCTGCTGTAGCTAATCTTTCAGTATCTGAGTTATCCTACACATTTTATATTCAAGCTTCTCCTGAGATCCCAGACACAGAGCCCTGACATTTGGCAACATAAACAACAAAGAAAGAAGAGCCTGTTTCCCGGTGAATGTCAAAACAGGAAACAATTTCTGCTTAAGCAGAACTGTGCTTTCTCTGCTCTAACTTTACTGATAAATCTAATTTCCTGCCCAATTACGCCTTCTCCTTTTCTCCCACTTAGAAGAGGCAAAGCAAGCTGTTTATTCTTAAAAGCCTTATCTGCCAAGTAATTTAAATTCCCCACTAAAAGCCATGCAGTTGCTTGCTTTCATTGCCTCGTGTCGTCTTGCCCTCTCCAAACACTCCAGTGAGGTTCCTTTCTCTTACACAACCAAGTGACCCACCTCACATAGTTTTTGTTCTCTTCCATCTCCTGTCTCCATTCCTCTTTACTGCCTGCATGCTACATAAACACCATTCTCAAGTTCTTCTCTACATCCTTAGTATTCTGCAATGTACATCCTGCTGCCTCTTCCGTCTCGCTAACTTTACAATATTTTTCACGTCATTCTTCATGCTGCTCCGGGCTAGTCTGGCCTTTCTTCATAAAGTTTTAACGTTATTACTTTGTCTTTCATTACATCTGGTTTTCAGCTTCACTTGTACACGGTTTCTTTCTGCACCCGTTACTTACACTAATTCTCTCTCACATGCATGGACATAACTGGCACAGACCAAAGGACAAATAAGGGTAGCAGAACCAGAATTACAGTCTAGACTTCAGGATCTGGGTTTTGCTTCAGCTTTGAAAACCTCTATACAAATGACTATCGCTAGCCCTTATAACCACAGAGGAAAGGAGAAAAGACTCAGTTGCAGGTGGGGATTAATTAGGCCGATTAAAAATATTCTCATCTCAAGGAATGAGTGAGACATAAAACTTGTTCTTTTGTGTCAATTACTTTGAGGCAAAGTTGTTATTTACCTTTTCTAAAGATTCCTCTTCATAATCTCTTCCAAACTTTTCTGTCTGCTCATCAGTTGACTCCACTATCACTAGACTAGTTCTCCTTGGAGAGAGGTCATCCTGCTGGAGTTGGGGGTCCTCGGGCTCTTGGATGATGGGAGAGTCACCTCCCTGAGCAGATGATGGGGACTGTGGGGATGTTTCTTCTCTTTCTTCCTTTGCCTCACTGAAGTGTGCAGATTTTTCACTTGCTGCTTTTCCAGTTACTGGTGCTGTAGACTGCTCTGTTCCTGGAGTTGTGACACTGTGAAACGCAGGTTCATGGGAAGTTACTACCATGCAGTGCTTTCCAATCCCCATAAATGGAACATTATGCACTCATTAAATATTGTTATGTCGTCTGTTGTCTAGCAAAGCCTAGAAATAACTGATACTCCTTGACAATAACTACAGACCAATCTGGCTAGGAATCCCCCTCATTTTCCTGACCCAAGAAAATCTCCAAATGGATGTCCGAACGTTGCACCCAGTTCTGCAAAACCTGGTCTTTGTAAAAGATTTACGTGAGCTTTGCTGTCACTTGTGTCCTCACAAATCTACATATTACCTACTATTTGCGGCGGGGGGGGGAGGAAGAGACTGGATCACTACAGATGGATGTGAAGCAACTACTACGTTAATTACAAGCTACACAGCTGCAGGTGAGGAGAGACCAACTTTTATGCAGAATTCTGGAGCCTTACCAAACAGAAGTTTAGTAGAGAAATTTCCTAGAGAATCTTACTTTGTTTGCAACGTTATTTGCACTGTTGAACATTGCTATGATTTAACTGCAAGTTATTTAAACATATTATAACATACATTACTATGTAACGTAAAGGTAATACATATATTAAAGCATATGTACACGCAACATTTTTCTGTTGCATATGGGTGAATAATAGTGACTTCAGATATTAAGCTAACTCTCATCTGAGTTTTATCAAGTAACCTTGTAACTCTGATGCTAGCTTGAAAAGGTCACTTCTGATTCGCACTAATGGTGAAAACATTACCCGTGTCACCACCTAGAATCTTCTTTTGAGGCTGACTTTTCTCTTTTCATGTATATTGGTAAAAATTAAAAAAGACAACTATACCAAAACAGGTGGAATTACAGCCTGAAAAATAATGAGCCTGCAAAAACGAAATCTTCCACTTCTATAACTTCTGAGATGCTTTGGAGCGAGCGTCTACATGCTTGCTTTTTTTCCCCCCTCTCATCCTAAAAATTAACTGAGGAAATCGTTAAATTTTAATAATAGGAGTCTAGCTTCCCTTCTCCATAACCAATCCCATGAGTAGATAACAGTAATAACAACAGTAATAGAATAACTTGCATCTATATGGCTTTTTTCCTGACACAAGTTGGGTTTTGACAATTTGTTGCGCTCCCCCAACATGCTGCTTTCTGTCTCCCACACTCTCTCCTGGGTGTAAAGCATATCTTGAGCAAAAGAATCCCCAAAAGACCATTTGCTGGACTCAGCTGCACTTGGACTGTTTGGAGCTGCATCTCCACATCAAAGCTAATCACTCCCAGGAAACCCACGCTTCTTTGGAAGGGGATCCGTGATATTTTGCTAGCCTATGAATACCTGAATCAACCCTGCCTAGAGTTCTCAGTGTGGGCACATGGTTAGGGATGGTGGGAAGAAAGAAACACGGTGCTTTTCAAGTGCCTTTCCAAATGAAAGCAACCCCACTGACAGCCCCAAATCAGAATCCAAGGCTTTGCTCTGCAGGTCTTCTAAATCTACACTTTATCATGTGTTGTTCCCTTAAGTACTTCTGTCTTGTCTGTATAAAACCCTGCTTCTGTTCCTTTGGCCATCTGAAACTTACTTTTAAAAAAACCTAGTCCCGATACGTGGTTATGAGTTTTGTAAGTAACGATTAAGTTGGAAAATTTTTGCCTCAATTGAAAAAGCCATCCTGCAGTTGAAGAAAGGCCCCTCTAGTGTTAATTCCATTAAGTTTAACGTTACTTGCCATCTAACATGAAAAATATACACAGTTTGCAAAAAAACCCCAGCTCTACATTATCCCTCTTTTCTTTCATATGGACTAGACTAGACTATTGCTTTGTGTTCACAGTGACAAACTGACTTCCTTCTCCTAATCCTTAAGGCTTCCTCCACATGGATTAAAAAGTCAAATCTGCAGTAGAAACTAATGAACTGGTGCCCAAAATTGGAGGAAAATTCTAGTGAGTTCCTATGTTTCAAAGAAAACTGTAAAATCCTCTTATTACACAGAGAAGAGATAATCCATTCCACATAGGTTTCACTCTGGTCTTTTGACACTTACAAATATTCATGTTGTGAAGCAGATGGTTTTTCTGGCACAGCTAGGGGTTTCCCTGAGAATTCAGCTTCTGCTTGTTCCTTATGTGCTTGTCTCAGGAGCTCAGCCATTGATACTTCTGCCTCACTCCTGGGAGTACTGTCCTGAAAAGGAGAATAACTGACGGACACGTCTTCCTCAGAGACGATAGGAGGGTGTTCAGTTGGCTCACTGTCTTTAGATATTCTGTGTTGTTCTTCTTGCTTATGTCTTGAACGGTACAGTTCTTCCTGCAGTGCAGAAAACCCTTTAAAAAAAACAGAGATGAGAAATGTCATTACAAGTCTTACTAGAATGCCTGAAATCCTTTTCATTCTCCATGTGCATTTAAAATCCCTGGATGGAACACAGTACCTCAAATTTTTAGACATCTTGAGTGGGAGAGGACATAACTTCTCCAAGTAGCTGAAGGAACACTGGATTACCACTACTATTGCCAAATAATGAATCTTGACAGTAACAGGCAAAATAAAATTTACCTAGAGTAATTCATCTTGAAACCCTCAAGGGATGAAAGAAGATTCACAACAGTTTTTTTCCAGCAGATTAGGATAGCTTTTAGTGACTTTTTTTCCCCCCATCCATTATTTATCTGCTTACGGAAAAAATAGCTACACAAGTACGGACAAAGAAATTCATACAGGACTAGGTGCAAGAACTAACTAATTTATGTGCTTCAAAACATATAAACACATCCACCCATCCCCAACCCCTAATCTCAAAGCCAGGGCTCTCATTCTGCAAAAAAATGTAAAAAAGATTTGCGTTTCTGTTCCACAGGCTGCAAGTCACAAGCTTGGGCTTTTGTTTTTCCTTACTAGCCACATTCACTAGGAACCTATTGAACTCTGAAGAACAGCTTGGGGGAAAACACAACTGCTTGTACTGAATTGGAGCTGGACATGGAAGTTAATGTTCTAAAACTAATCGGTTGTGATACTAGAATGCCAATTCTAAATAACAATCTTCTATTCCTACATTCTCTTAAAGATGGCACATTTGCAGCTGTCTAATACTTTTTAATGATGTTAAAGTATCACTTCCAGAAAGGAGAATTTTATTTCACATAATTCGGAAGTGTTTCTTTAGTTTACAACCATTGATCTAATCTACTGAACTTTTAAACTTGAGAAACCCAACAGCATCACAGCAGAATTACAGTATCCTGGATACTTGAATCCACAGGCTTCTCCAAAGCACAGAGCAGTTTTCCTTTTACAAATCTTGGTCAAATCCTAACGCAACCTTCCTAACTTTTATGAAGGAACTTGTATAAGAAAAAAATAACCCCAACAAACTGGGCGTAAGTATTTGCGGTAGTTTCTGACAACGCTCCTTTATTTGCTTTATAAGAATCAGCTAATGAAGAGATCTTATACCCGGTGAAATTGTGACCCGCGTGACGTCACGCTTGCATTCATCCATATTATCTGTGCTTTCAAAACGAGATTCTAGTGCTCAGTCCTAAGAGTTAACAGACTGCCCTAGTCAAACATTTCAGAACAGAAGCTGGTGCTTAGATGAGATAACCCAGGCAGTCTGGATCAGGAGACGCTTACCTTCGCTATGGTCCAGTCCTATTGTTTGTTCGATTTCTGCGTACGTGCGAGTGCCGTGGACCTGCATGGAGTCTATGCCGCTCGTCTCCATTAGGTGAACAATATCCATTCGGTTGATTTTTGTGAGGCATTGGGTAAGATTTGTATCTGTAGCATTAGAACGACACCATGTAGCTGAGTTAAGAATTTCATATGCTCTCTCCCCTCTGTTTTCCATATGAAGGACATATATAGGATACCGAGCAATATAATATCATATACAAAAATACAGATGCGTTTAGAAGCATTGCTATGTAAACATTCTTCAGTTTAGGAAAAAGAGGCCTCAGTGGTTTCCCACTCTTTCTTTGCTGTAAGATGTTCTGCCTTGCCCTCAAATTAAGAAGATTAAACTATTTTCTGCAATAATCCTATAATCATAGAGTCACAGAATCGTTTAGGTTGGAAAAGACCTTCAAGATCATCCAGTGCAACCATTAATATGCCATGTTACACAGACAAGCTTAAAAAAACCTAAGTACGATCTATAGTCCTTCTTTCTATAGCCTAAGTTTTACCCAAATTATCTTTTTGTGACTTATACGCACTATAACTGGAAACGAACCTGTTGCGTGTTTCCCATCCCTTTCAAGCCAGTATTTGAGGAGTGCGTGGCTCTGGTCTTGAAGTGAGTTAGGATTTTCAATTCGGATCTGGTGAATTTGCTCTTCTGTGAAATCCAGTTCTCTTGCTAGCTCTGAAAAAGAAATCCCTCTCTGTAAAGATGTCGTCTTTTTTCTCGCCTTACATCTATTTTACTGCTGTCAGCAGCAAAGTGGGTTACAAACTTTTCTGAAACCAAATTCTCTTTGCTTCTCTGTACCTTGTGTTATATTTAGAGACATTGTCAAAAAGGAAGTTCGTGACAAAGACAGAAATGCGTTATGCCTAGAAGTGATGGGTCTGCGTGCACTTTTATTTTTTGTGTCTACCATTCCCAGCTCTCAGAGGCGCAATGCTACTGACAACATTTAGCAGTGACAAGCTATCAAATAGAGTGCAGTTGCAGAAATAGCACACGAGCAGATAAAAATATTTCTAGCTACCGAGCACCACGCTCAGCAGATTCCATCCTCTGAAACGTTGAAAATTAATTTTAAGTAATGGCATTTTGTAGTGTTAGATTAAAACATAATAATTCTACTCCCCTGGACTTGTTTCATTTAAAGGAAAGTAAATGTCTGTGAATTACAGTTGAAAACCAAAACTGGAAAATGCGACACTAAGAATAACTGATGTCTTTCTGATGTAGCATAGGCTCCGACTGCAGTCCAGAAGAGAGAAATGGTTTAACAGTCTGCAATAGGACGCAACTGTTGAACCAGGTCATCAAATGAGTTAAAGCCATGGAGAATTTGTGAGATTCCTACTGTTATTCCTGGTCTCCAGATTTCTGCTTCTTTCACAAAGAAGGATTCATGTTCTATTCCATCGTCATTACTGCTATAGTGGCCCGGACTTGATTTTGGAGGGTGTCATGTTCTAACAAGGTGGAGGGAACCCTAACCCCAAACCCCAGATAACCTTATTTCCAGGCTGGCTTGTAAACTGGCGCAACTGTAAACTTCAACAAATATACAGTAACTGCACATTAGATTCAAATCCTAGGTAGTCAAATAAGTTTGAACAAAGACCAACCACTGTTTTATCCCCCAAAGTAACATTTGACGTAGTAATCTTTACTATAATCAATCTTTACCGTAATGTAAGACAGGAATATTTATGCAGGTGTATCACCCTGCCCTCTCTAAAATGCTATAGAACCATTAATGTCTATTTCGATGAGTATCCTTTTTCCCTAGTTTTGTTTTCAGAACCATCTAGTCATTTATATAACATTTTCAGCAGATTCCTAATCTGCTACACTGCACAGGTCCAAGTCTGATTTCAAGATAATCTATGTTGGGATGACTGACATATGCTCCCAGTCTTCTCTATGGATTGAAACAGAGGACAGGAAAGGAAGAGGCAAGTAACATAAGCAAAAGTATCAGCGATATTTTGCATATACTCTGAAGATGCTTATCAAACCAGTACAGAGCACGATCTTCATTATCAAGGAGCTACCATTTTTTTTCTCTGGTATACAACTCTTCTTCAACTCCTAGAGCCTTGCTTATTTTCAGGAGTGTGGTACTACTCTAGGGATAGACACAGAGAAGTGTAGACCTGATTTAATTTTTTTTGCAGCAATTTTTTCTTGCATTGCACAGTTTGACGCAGCATTGAGATTTCTGCACAGCCCTCTTCCTTTGCAAACGCTTTTGAGCTGATTTTCAGCGGCAGACGTCTGCATTTCATTCTGCGGTACTTTCACTTATCCCCAGTAACCCTCAGGCCTATTAAATCCGCAATATTGAAGTGATTGTTACAAATAGGTCCCTTTTTATCCCCTTTTCCTCAGCACGGTTCTGTAGAAAAGAAGTTGATGTCATTTATCCCTATAGTGGCCTTCCAGCTCAGGTGTTCCAGAACACAGATGATGTTTATTCACGTATTCATTTATCTTCTAGCCAGAGTTGTTGCATTTTGTAAGAAAGAGTCGGGAAACATAAGCCAGCTTTTTGTCGATCTCTCATCCTAGGAGTTTGCCCTCTGGAGATGCCACAGCAAGTGCAGAGGCCTTACCTCTGCATCTCCGTTCTGACCTAATAGGCTATAGGAATCTTAGTAACCAGAAGACAGTAAGCTACTGGAATATTCCTATAAAACATCTTTACATAATCAGGAAATCATCTGAAAGAACCATGAAAGAAGTGAGGAATGCTCCCCTCCTCTATCTCTGGAGTAGGTGACGTGCATTTTACCTGTCCAGCTGAATCCAAGATGATCAGCGATGTGGGCCAGTCTTTCCTCTGTCCTTTCCTGATCATCCCGTTGATCTAAAGGTCAAAGAGAGCCACAAGTTGCCTTTTATAAGTTAAAAACCATTTTCATAGGTGATATAGCCCAAGAAGGGAAAGCGCTTTCTTTTTCTAAGTGCTGTAATCTAACTGCAGACAGGCTGTTACAACTGGGTAACTCAAGTGAGGACTGCAAATCCTCAAGGTTAAAAAAAATAGCAGCTTGATTTTTCAAAAAGCACAGGACTATCTACATTTGAAAATCAGGCTTTCACGTGAAAATCTAAACAAGGACTGAAGCGCCTACTGTGCCTATTTTGGCCAAGCATTTTATTCTAAAACTTCATTCTAACATTAAACTGAAGACTTTAACTAAGTCAAGAGCCATAATTTTCCATGCCTCCTTAGTAAATGCCAAGGTTGAAAAATTCATCTGGACTGGGGCTTCTAATTATGTTCTTTCTGTTGTAGGGAAAGTTTTGTTTAAACAGTCCATATGGCACTCCATATTATGGTTTGTATTTGAGATATTGTTAATTTAAATGTCTTTCACCCTTTCAACTAGGGAGCGATACAAAATACTCACAACGAAGGCCAGGAAAAATCAGATGTTCATTTGCCAGTCTTCATTTATTTCAGTAACAGTGAGACTGACTGTTCCTCCCATCCCCAAAGCTAATTTGAGGATGGCAGAATTTGAGTTTTGATTTTCCCTGAATGCACACATGGATTGCGATAGCTCAGATTCAGAAAATTGCTCAGGGTTAATGACAGACGCATGTTTCATTTTAGCTACTGGATTTCCATCATGGCTACTCAGTAGTAGTACAATAGTAGGTGAGAGGAAAACCAAACACCAGAAAACTTGTACTAAAGTTACTGGTGACAAAGAATTTTCTCAATACACACATCGTCAAAAAAAGGAACATGAAAAACATAGTTGTTTCTGCAGATTTCTTTGTGTAACAACTCAAAAGAAAATGAATTTGCCTGTCTCATTTTCAATCAATGCCCAAATATTTCATTATTAGTAAAAATTAACAGTTCAGAAGAAGGCCGGGGAAAGCCAAAAGCCAAAATGTGCATGACCTGAGCAATCAGTTTAATGGTAAAACAATACGTATTTTTAGAAGTGTTTTTGTTTATTAAGGTAACACTTCCCATAAGCATTCATGGTTTGCAATCTTGAGATTATTTCACAGACAAGAAAAATACAGACACAACACAAAAAACCAAACACAGCTCACAGGGGAAAAAAATACACAACTAACCACCAAAAGCTTAAAAGAAAACGCCACACACATTACACGTGTATACAAACACACACACACCCCCCCCAAAGAAAACAAAGAAACCAAAAAATTTAATTCATGACATGCGTCGCACAGGGAATCCCAGTCGTTGGCAAATACCTTCAGCATGGTCATGGACATTTTCATCAGGGATACGTTCAATCTGAGTCTCTACAGACTCATCCCAAATGGGTCTGGTGTCAAAGATGTCTTCGGGAACTGACTGCTGAGGCTCACTGGATGGCACATTTTCAATAACTGAAACTTCTAGGGCGCTACTGCTTTCATCATCTGAAACTAATTCTTGTTCTCTCTCTGACTGCGTGAGTCTTTCCACTAATTTAGAAGCTTCATCACTAATTTCTTCAAAGAATTCTATGGAGTTTTTGTAAAGGTCAAAAAAATGTTCCTTACTTTCTTTTGTGGGACTAAAAGCACTGCGGGAGGCTGTAGTGCTTCTGCTTTTAACTGGCAACCGTGATGAAAATACCTTGGGTCTTGCTGTTGTTGCCTCGTCTGAGTCTAGCTCAAGCTTCATCTCTCTCTCCCTCTCCCTGGTCTCTGCTTCTGCCTCAGCATAACTCCTAGCTTTTATTGAACGTTTAGTCTTTGGGTCCATGGGAACACTTGCATCGGATTCAGATTTACTTCGGTTATCTTGTTTCATAGGTAGTTTGCTTGTCATGTCAAGAGCTTTGGGTGACTCTAGCTTGTGGACAGATGTGTCTGTGTATGTATACTGTTGTTCAGATTTTTGGAAAGCCGCTTTGACAGGAATTTTAGACTTTGGTTTTGCTTGGTCATCCTTTCCTTCACACTGCAAACTGTCTAGGAAGCCATCTGTGGGAAAGCTCTCATTTTCCCATTGTTGCAAGGATTGCGATGCAGCAGCGGCTGTTCTTACAGGAATTTTGGATTTGCTTTCACAAGAAGGCACTCTCTCCATTAGAGCAGTAGGGATTTCAATCACAGATCTCTGTTCCTCTGGTGAAGAGTCTGGGGACTCCTCACCCTGTTCAGAACAAACTAATCTAGTGACTTTGGAAAAATCTAATTCGTCTTCTATGACAGACTGCTCAGGAGAGGTAGGGCAAGGCACCTGACTGCTATCAACCACGTCAGTCTCCGTTCCGGAGAGGGGCTCAGCTTCAGAGGCAGCAGTTTCTTTCTTTGGTGATTTTGAAGAAGCTGAAATACCCATTTTAATCGGAATTCTGGATTTAAGATCTGCTTTTGCGGTGCCTATGCTGACACCTTCACCTGTCATTTCTTCTGATTTATCACTAGACTCAGATGCTGGGGGTGAATATTTCAGTGTATCTTTTTCTTGTATATCTGAGTCCTCTGATTCTGAAGGTGAAAACGGATCCAGTGAGCTCTTCAGCTTAGAGGATTCCACCTCTGCTGCTTCTTTCTCTTCTTCAGATAAAGAAACTTCTTCCTGAGGCTGCTGGCCCATTTGGAAGAAGTGAAAGCTTTCATCTGGATAGTTCCTTTTGGTCATGTCAATGGCTCCACTTCTAGTCATCTCAAACAACTTCCCTTCCTGAAAAAGAAAAGGATTTTGTTCACTAAGTGGCGTCCCTTCTTCGGTGGGTGTTCTGGCCGGTGTTGTATCAGGTGTTGTGCCTTGTGATCGCCTGTCTACCATCAACCCAAATATCTTTTGTTCCTCTTCTTTCACCCGAGCTTCAAAAGCTTCATCATCTTCACGTATTTCACTCCACATGTCAGAATCCACATCAGTTTTAGTGATGACAACTTGACTGATCAATTTCTCTGTTTCATCTCTTATATCCCCAAGGGCAGAGTCAGCTAATTTTGTGGAATCTGATGCGGAAGACCCTTGTGACGTTTGCTGAAATGCATCCTCTGGTTTTGGCTCTATTTCCATACATACTTCCTCTGACGAGTGAGATTCACTACCTGTGTCTCTGCTAAGTAAAGTTTCACCAGTCTGATCTTTTCCTTCTTCAGTAGAATAGTTTTCCCTAGATAGCAGACTTCTACCAGATCCTACCTTACTTTCAGAGTCAGTAAAGAAATGTTCAGAAGACACATTTTCATAAGGGCTTACTATATAAGGAGCACTACCTTCAGCAGCATCTGCTACACAACGTTCAAGTTCCACTGTTTCAGTGGTAAGGGATGAATACTCTGGTAAGGGTTCCTCAGCATGAATATCTCTTTGAGATGTTTCAAAATCTGTATCTGCTTTTCCCAAAGCAGAATGGTCAGTGGTATCTTCTTCAGCCAGTTTGCCATCTTGTGGTACAGAGTACTCAGTGGTACTGTGTCCACAAGAACTATCATCTACTTTCTCAGACACGGCTCCTGTAGAAATGAGATCTGCGTGGGTTAACAATGCAGTGGTTTTGACACCTTTTTCAGTAGTATCGTATTGCTGTAGGGTTAGCGAGGACTCAACGTGAACTTCTTTTTGAGAACTGTCACCAATGGAATGACACAGAGTACCCCCAGACTGCGTGACCGGGGCACTGGGACTAACCGTCTCACTGTCATCTGTACTGCCACATTTTGATTCATCAGTTCCTGCCGATACACAACCATCAGAATGACAAGTGCCTGATTCTCTTGCGGAAGCCTTAGAGCTGTCATCGTCTGTTGGCTTATCCTGTTCTGCTTTAACTGCACCTATGCTGATAGAGCATTGTTTTGAATCAATGGGTTGAAAACCTGCTTCGTCGGGGCTAGAACTGGAGTCAATACTGGATGGTAACGGTGAGGGTGGCTGCACTCGGATCACAGGCTCCATTAAGAGGCCTGAGCCGGCTTCTTTTTTGAGCTGAGTCAATTCTGGCTCGCTTTCTGAAGAGGAAGAACTTTTTCTAGATTCGGCTGCAGACATCACCACTGTAGGGATATCTTTTTCTTCTACAGCTGTTGACTCTGGTTCTTCAGCTTCACATGCAGCTTCTGAATCAGCACCTACAGAAGATTCATCTTGCCTACAATCCTTTTTGTAATCTCTCTTCTGTTTTGCTTCCTGTTCTAATTCATCAAACATTTTGATTTTGGTCACCATTTTAAACATCTCCTCTTCAGGGGTGAACCTCTTCTTTGGTTCACTTTCTGAATCATCCTCTGGTTCTTCACTGACTTCAGGGATCACGGCCGACTTTGGTATGCTTGACAGTGCCTGCGAGTCTGCTGTTTTAGGTGTGATTTCATAGCTAATTTCTTCAGAACTAGGAGTTTCAGGTGAAAGAGGACTTTTCCCTGAACTCTCCATGAGGGATGTTTGCTCTAGACTGTCATCATCAGCACTTCCCTCAGGGTCACGGAGAATCCTGGAACGCACCGATGCCAGCTCTGGGCAGGTTTCTCCTTTGCTAAGAACAGGCTGAAGAGGACCCTGCCCCAAAATACCAGCCTTCACTGTTTGTTCTACAGGGCTACTTTCAAGGGAATCACGGCAGGGAGACTCTTTCATAGGACTGGGCTCCAAAGAATCAGGCGTTTTGTGTGATGAGTTATCTTCTAGCACTGGGCTTGCTTCCAGTGAGTCTTTGTGACTTATAGCCAAAGAGTCATCTGCAACTGGGCTAAAGCTTTCACTATCATGGCTAGCAAGTGCAAGTTCCAATTTCTGGGGACTTCTAACCAGAACACGGCGTTCACAGGTTATATCTTTTTCTTTCTCTAAAGCAGTGTCATGTGTTTCAGAAGACTTAGTTAAATGTGCAGTGGTTCTGGGTTCGTTATCCCTGCTAATATCTTTCATAATGGAAGCTGAGCTACTTTCTTTAAGTTTATCAGCCTCTTCTTCAGAGGCTGTAGGTACAAGCTCTTCTGATACATGGTCAGAATGAGACTTACTAGTCTCAGAAACAGCATCTAGCTGTCTTTCAGTAATACCTTTTTCATCTTCCTTTGGAGAGAGTTCCTTCGGAGAACATGTTTCTGCTGTTGTGTGTGCTCTAGCTGCTCCTTTAGCTTCTTCAATTTGCCCATCAGTTTTCTTTGGTGAGAATGAAAGGCTTTCAGGGCTTGTTTCTGGAGTCTCTGCCAGACCCTCATGCTTATAACTTTCCTCAGAGCTGATCTGAGGGGTTCCGTCAAGTAGGCTGCCTGGAGAATCAGCCACACCTTCGTGTTTAAGGCTCTCTGAGCTCCCATCAAAAGCAGCACTTTGCAGAGAAAGAGCAGGAAGGAATCCATCTTTCACGTACTCTGTGGGAAAAGCAACACCGAAAGGACTGGTCAGTACTTGCTCCAAGTTAAGCTCTCCCTCCTCTGTCACTGAAAGGTGTCGGAACTGTTGGTATTTGTCATTATCCTCCAGTTCTTCTTTAATGACATCAGAAAAGTCTGTTGAGGTTTTTCTGTCAGGGCTGATCTGGAAGTCAGTATCTCCTTGGTCATCAGAAGTCCTGCCCTTCATAACCGCTGTATCTTTGGCACTTTCATCATCAAACACCGGAGGGAGAGGTTCAACTGGTTTTTTGCTGCTCTGCTCTTTTACCTGCTCTTTACCTACAGTTTTCTTGGTAATTTCGACCGCAGAAGTTTGCATTTTTCCTTTTTTCGATTGCGGCTCTTTCTCTGCTTTTACTATCGTGCTTTGTTTGTCCTTCGGTTTGTCTGTCTTGTGGCTTGATACTCGCTTTGTTTCGCTTTGTGAAGAAACCGTTTTTCTCCTGGCTGTTTCCTTCTCAGGGAGCTGCTGCTTCTGTTTGACGGATTTGTGCTCAAACAGTCCAGATATATTCTTGGATGGGTCTTGACCTGACTGGAAGGCTTTCATCAGTTCACGAACTGACATGGTCTCTTCAAGTCTTTCTGTCTTAGAAGAAGGTGAAACAGGCGGTTGTGCTTTGTGTCCTACTGGTTTTTTGACTTGTACTGGTCTTTTAGAAGCCTTTTCAGCAGTGCCTTCTCTTGTTTGAATTCTGACAGGTAGTTTTGACCGTACTTTTTGTTCATCTTCCACTCGTTTCTGAAGAGCTTTAACTTTATCTTTTATTGAGCCAATAGGAGTTTCCTCTATAACAGGGGATACAGCTTTAGCCTCAGGAGCAGCTGTCAGTGCCAAGCCAGGTTCCTCACCTAGTGACTCATCTGAAGTGAGCTTTGTTAGTCCTGGTTGTTCTTCACTGGCGTGCATCTTGCCTTCCTTTTCTTTCTGCTTGTCTCTTAATTTTGTCCTAGCTGGCTTCTTAATTTCTAAGGCCGGCTTGTGTTGCTCCTGCGGACTTAGTGTTTCAGTTGTTGGAGACTCTTGTCCTTCTTTTTCAGAATCCCTGCTTATTACTACAGCTTCAAATCTCTCTTCTACTAAGTCTTCTTGTAAGGCTTGTGGCTGTACCTCATGAAGAGAAACATATGTTTTTAAATCCTCTGTGAGGTAATCTACCATTCCTGTCATGTCTGGCTTCTCCATTTTTGTTGTCCCTTCGCCTACCCTGACTTCTACACAGGTAGGTTCAGTGACTTCTAAAGGAGCATTTCTTCTGGCCTCTTCAATTTCTTCATCACTTAAAATGACCCATTCTTCTTCTACAAGTTCTTGTTTGGAAAGGGACTTCTGCAAAACATGTTCTTCTCTGGGATAGGATCCACCTCTCAGAATTTCATTTACCTTTTCTAAGTCTTCTTTCACTCTTTCAACTATTTCAAAAGGTTCTCCTGGCTCTTCTTCAGTGGGTTTTCCAAGATCTTTCACTTTAATGGAGCCTGATTTATCAGAGGGGTCAGTTGTCAAGATGGCAGTCATTTTGATCAAATCTTGTTTCATCTCAGAAACTTCAGACAACAGGTCTGGACTGGCTAGTACAGGGACTGCATTAACCAGATGGCTTTTCAGGATAGATGTTTCTGTAGATTCTGTCTCGTCATCTTTGATGCGAACGAAAAACATTGAAAGTAAAATGGAAATCAAAAATAGAGATTGGAAAATGTAATCAGGACTGAAAATGAGTCTTTGGTTGCAGTGGTAGGAAGGTCAACAAAATGGGCCAGGAATGGTGGATCCACAAGATCTGAGGGTACAAGAGCAAAGCAAAGCTAACGGGGGAGGGAGGGGAGGAGGGGAACCAAAAAAACCCCAGAACTGAAAAGGAAAATGGCAGGAAATAACTTGCTTAATTTTACCAATATAGCACAACCACACATACATTATCAAAGCTGTAACAAACCAAATAGGACACCACTAAAAAAAAACCAAAACAACAACAACGAAATTTAAAATTAAAAACAGAAGAAACACAGTGAAGTTACACAAAGATAGGCATCTCAAGATTGTTCAGATGTTACAGATCAATGTTCAAATAAAAATAAACAAGAAAAAAGGGGGAAAGCATTAGAACTGATTGAAAGTCGATTTCCTCTAAGAGAAAGCCAGTGTTAGCAAACTGTCAGAATAACATTGGGTTAACATTTTTTTTTCTTAATTACCAAAATAAAAAGTTAAAAGTAATTCTGCAGTAATCTAAAATATGATCAAATATGTAGAGATCTGAATCAGCTGCAAACCGGCATTTCATCTAAGGGGATTTCACACCTAAACAATGAAACAAACATTCTTTTGGTTTAAGAGGCATGGTCCTTTCCTTGGAACATCCTCATTGACAACTAATGAATTGACTGAGGAAAGAGAAGACAGAGAAGAAAAGGAGAGATAATAAGAAAAAACTGTGAATCAACTGAGAAGTGATTTCAAAGTTTTAAAAAATTTAATGTATGGCAACCAAAAATCAGAGACAGTCACGCTAGACACATACATACAATTCATGTAAGGCAAGTTATTTCCATGCAAAGCAAAGGTGTTGCAAATGCTGCTGGGTATGTAGCTTCAGTTAAAAAACAATAGGTCTGAAAATTAATCATATAAATTAAAGACACATGAAAATATTGTAAAACATACTGTGGTGAAATATTTGTTTAATCTGTGCAATCAACGTACAGTAAGCTGGATGTAGGTAATTCCCGTTATGCCACAACTGCCTGTTGGGAATATTTAATTTCAGGAAGGACTACTAGAAAACGTATATTGAACAGAATGAAACATTGGAGGACTGAAGCAAGTTAGGAACAGAATGCAATGCTCAGAAATTATAATTGTACATTTTTCTTTTGAAGGTACTACATCACATAAAATTTGGCACATTTCTGCACCCCAGTCTAAAAGTCAAAGTAGTAATGCAAATAAGGAGAGCCTAAGTGATACATCTGCATGTCTTTGTAAAAAATACCCATTTTGCTACACTATTCTCTTGCGTGTAATGTATGCTAAGTGTTTGTGCTGTTCATTAATTATAACCAGATTGCTGGGGTGATTTTGGTGCTGAAAATTTGGTGCTTTGGTGCTGCTGGTTTCAGTGTGAACTATCTAGTGCATACTGAAATGCTATCTAGCAATTTTGTAGATTTGTAATACATATTTTCATAAATGTCAAATGGATGACTACCTCACTGGCCAAAGAGTCAAGTTAATTAGCCGGAAGCAAAGAAGCTCCAGCGGAAAGAAAAATGCAAGTATTTTCCAAACAGCGTGTGGCTGGTAGCAAGAACGCTTGCTGGGGTTCTCTGTGGCCTAGCTAGTCAGCAGGGTGAGGAAGCAGTGGTGGGCTTACTACCAAGAGAAAAATAAGAGAACTTCTGAACTGCCAGGAATGGGCAATAGGTGTCAGTAAATGCAGCTGGTAGAGGGCAGGACAAGGGCCTTTCAGGCTAGGCAGCGCAGTTATTGACATTAGTGCTCCTCCCTGCCATGTTACAAGCTTTTGGCTATGGCATGGTTGGCCTCCCTCACACCTGCACTGAAGCGTTCCCAGCTTGCACCACAACGCCGTTCATTCTGCCAAGGAAGGCGAGCGTAGCACGACTGTCTTGGCGGCTGCTCCGTCTCTCAACTTAACTTTGAAAACTGAAGTGCAAACGTTTGTTTCTGAGAATAACTCTTTCGATTAAGTAGAACAGCTGAAACAGAAGATGCTGATAAAATCCCTCATTTATCATCCCTTTATTATAGTGTTCCAGAGGTTCTGTTGTTTGATTTTTATCACTTGTTTCTTTTCTCACTGGGAAATTGTTTTGGAGTCAGCAGAGCGCATCTTGAAACTAAGTACCTCTAACTGCTAAGCTCTTCTGGGTCACATTCTTGGCTTGCCCTCATTCTTTTGGATTCTTCTCATAAGAGCTGTTTACCTGTATTAACTCCTCAGCAGAGCAGGAAGGAACGGACTCCATGGCCAAACGGTAAAGTCTCTAACACGCTTTTCAGAAACACCAGTTCTAATCCTGGTTCTGGCTGAGACCTTTAAGGTCTATTCATGAAGGTGAATTTGGCAGTATTTTAACATGGGGGAGATTTTCTGCGTTGTCTCATAGATCCATTTCCCTTTATGTAAATAATGATTCAAGGACATGCACATGCGAGTCCTAGTTCTTACTGAACAATACAACTACTGGGACAAAAAAAATCAGTCACTGATATATTACCTCTCTGCAATTAAAAGTTATTTAAACTAAAGACAACCATTAGCAGAAGTATAGGGGAACTGGGCTAACTGCCTGCAAAGAAGTTGCCTGGTTGTAAGTATATTTTCCAGCAATTTGGATATCATGATGTGAGCCACCTCAGTGGTCTTTAAGCAGGCACTTGGTGGTCTCTTTCGTGTTTGTTAATTATACTTTTAATGATTCCTGGGAACAGTGTCTCTCCCTCACTCTCCTGCTTGCAGCTGGGTCTACCTAATTCTCAAACTAATTCTCTATTAAGCCAAAGGAAGAAATAGCAAAACTAAATTGCTATCTGCCTGGTATCTTCATTCATCCAGTATAAGAAGCACCAAAAATTCTAGCTCTATGCCATGTTGAATTTAGATGAGTCTGTGACAGCCACAACTGAGCAACCTCACTAAACCTGCATCCCACCACCTTCCTTAGGGCGGGTGTACTGCATCGAGGAAATAATTACGTGGCAAGGGGAGTATTCAAGCCTTTTTACACCTGTATGTTTTATTGTTCTCTTGAATTAATCTCCCATTTCCCATGGCTACATTGTGGTGTGACTTTTCCACCTTGATGGAACTGCTCGCCCTGGTGTAAATAATAATAATAATGAATTAGAGCAAAAATCTGATACTAATAATGTTGTTAATCATGGTGAATACTATTGCCCACCACGTTATTAGCTATTTTGTCACCCTGATGTCTTTTATTCTCTAGGTGAAGCATTTCTGCTTTAGACAAAGGAGGTTGTAGGGGAATGATCATCCATTTGATCTTCAGGATCATGGTGCTGTTGTCTCTCCAGTTAAAACATGTACATAGTACATCAAGAATAAATAACCCTCAAAATGCAATGCAGGAAAAAAGGCAAGACGTTGCACTTTAAACTGGAAACAAGACAGAAGTCATTCTTTTCCTAAGCAGATTTAAGAAATCACTGCATTTGAAAACAGTTTTTATTAGAGATACTCTTCAGACTGAACATGTATTTGTTTGATTTGCATCTTCCTTAAAGGAGATCTTTGGCATTGTGAACCACTCAGCCTCCGTTTCTAAAAATAATGGCCTGATTCTGTATAAACAAAGGGTATATGCTGTACCAAGCTTCACAGTCATATTTCACCACAGTAAAGGGGCGGGGGGAAAGGAGGGAGAAGGGTTAAACAGCCCGATTACTTTGGACAGTATCACTTTTTTGCATGGTTGTATTTCATGGGTTTAATGAAATATATTGAGGTGTTACTTAAGTTTTCATTAAAAGTGATACTGTCATTTATCTCAAATATGAGGCAACAATGTGTGTCAACAAACGGACAAAACAAAAAAAAACGGAGGGATGAGCATTCATACAAGCAAAATAGCAATAGCGGGATCACTAGGGATGTCAAAGGAAAGTAAATGCTTAGATGAACTGTTTTAAACTGTATTACTTGTTAATTTATACATTTAAATGTACTTAATTGGATAGCTGCTTTGGTATTAAATTGTTTTCTATTACATTTTTAAAGTATTGATGTTATTAGCAATAGCAGTTAAAGCTTAGCTCTCTTCCATGCTTATCTTGATTCTTAACCATCTTTCATACAAACTGCATTATAACATTTTCAGAAAACCAGAAAATCTTACTTTTTTCTGAAGTCATATCAACCTGGAAGAGAAAAAAGGGGGAAATTTAAAAGTTCAAATAGAATCGATATATATAAAATCACTAGTGAAGTAGTAGTACAGGTTGAGTCAAATCCACTAGATGTATGGAGACACACAGATTCATTGACTTAAATGGAACCAAGAATGTCTTTAAAATAACGGTAAAAGCATGCCGTAAGTTATTTAGTGTTTCTAATAACAGAAAAATGGTTACTTTGCTATAGTTATGGTCAATCGTAGATGCAAAATGTTGCAATGAATTTTCTTTAAACGCGACTAGCACTATAGGGGACCCAGAGTTTTGTATTACTGCGTATGTTGTTGCATTGTTCTTAATTTATTTCTTCCCGTCTAAAGCAAAACCAGTTCAATATGGCCATCTGAAGGCATACGTCCATCTGGAAGGCAACTATATATATGCCTTAGCCATAGCTTCACTGTACATATTCATTCTGAGATCAGGGTTTGCATTTTTGCCTCTGTACTTTGTGATGGTGAAAAGCAGGTGCAGAAGTGGCTGCAGACTTGCTGCTGCCTAAGGCAAGAACTAGGACTTGATGCCACCAACAGCTATTGATACCTCTAAACGGAAGCAGCGATAGCCCTCAGAAGCCATCTTCTTGATTTTTCAGAGTGTATTTAGGTGTAGATTGAAAAAGCCATACAATTTTACTGTTACTCAAAAGAAAACATAGCCCTTGCCAAAAAACATTTAAAAAAAGGCAATGTCAGACTATGAAAATTTAAAAAGCCAATTTTTGAAGTTGCCTGTAGTTTGAGGTTTTTTCAGTTCTGCTAGCACAATCATTTGTCCACACAAGCAAAAAAAAAAGGATTTTTGTTATGTAAATTTGGATATGCAAAAGTATGCAAAGTTAGAAGCAGCACTAACCGTTTAATTTCCTATACAAACTCATGGTGGTAGGATGACTGTGAGGAATGAAAATCAGCTATGCAGTACTGTTGATACATAGCGTGTATGTTAAAGCCCCCAAGACAGTTTTCTAGTGAGTGCTGAAAAGGTTTTACTTGTTTAAAAGCATTCTTTATAAAGATAAACGCAATATGTTGTCTCAGTTAAGATGTTACGAATCCTTGCTTTTCCATAAACTGAAAATGAATACAAGTAAGTCACTAGCAACGCTTACACGTGCATACATGCCTTGCAATCATTTAGGCTCACGTTATTAAATGTCACACTTAGCAGTGTGTATTACAGATCCATAATCGTATGAATTCCTCTGATGCACAGATTGCCCATGTTATGCACAGATCGCCCTACATGGTAACCTAAGATCCCTAGGCTACTTTAATTCCCCTTACTTTAAGTTCCTCCAAATCACTCTGGAATTATGTCAGCACACTAATTAATACTATTAACATAAAAATGAATAAAGTATACAAAAAAAAAAAATTTAAAAATGGAAGGTGGTTTTAGCCATCGATGAGCTTGTCTTTTTGCGCTTCAGTTTCTGACATAAAAATATAAGTCGTCACCAATGTTTGGAAAAATAATTTTCCAATATCCTTTACACTGCTTTTACAGAGCATAGATTTGTTAAAAACAACTTTTGGGGACTTCACTGGGAACGCATAAACAGCATTACAGAGGCTAAAAGAATTAGTTTTGTGCTTTTGGTACGAAATTGAATGATCACCCGATAAGAAATGTCACCTTCTGAATGAATATAGCAGGAATTAGCTTAAAAACTTTGGCCATGTTTTCACTTGACAGTGCCTATATTTCAGCACCGAAACAGGAGTGATAAATATTTCTGTAATGATAGTAGGAAACTGCAATCCATGCAACAAAACTGCTGAACTCTGTTTTGCAGTTCATGGAAAAGACGTCCATCGTCTTTGAGGAGCAGGCTACTCTCACAGTGCTGGCACTCTTACTTGTTTCCAACAGCTGAACATCATCAAAATGCGGGGATGCTTTTCTAGTGTTACTCATTTATGTAGGGGTCAGACCTTAAGAAATCTCTATAACTGCCAGAACAGGGCTGGGAATGTAGCCGGGAGTTGGCCACATTTCTCCATGAAGATGCAATTCAGTTTATGCTCAAGATGACAACTCTACACCTTTTACTCGGGGTAAACTTGTAACTTCTGGGTTAACACTGATTCTGTACTGGACTTCAGTAATCCAACTCAGCAATCTGTAAGATCCAGGCTATCGGATGTTATAAATGGACAAGATTTGTGACTTGCAGCCCTTTTGGGTGTACAGGTACTGCATTCATCTGCAATCCGGTCGCAGACTCCCCCCAGCAGCGGGGAACTCACTGATGGAGGTGATCGTTGTATTTAGGTCTGTTCCTCTGCCTCCGTTCTCCCCTACCCACCGCCACTAACTAGAGGAAGCACATTCAGACCGTGCGTAGGGGTACATGCGTAGGTAAAAAGCATACTATGCCAACGACCTACTGGTTCTGAATACTTTAGACAAGTCTACTAGCAACCCTACATTGTCTAGTAGCAACCCTACATTATTTTTAGGACGCGGGACGGTTCTCGGAATCAGAAACGCCAATCCCATTTCCCCTTTTTTGTGCTGCAGAGAATAAAGCTTAAAGAAATACACTTGTATGGCTTATTCTTGAGCAAAATAATTTTAAAATTATTAAGGAACTGTTTAGAAAGCAAAATGAACTATTGTACACCTCCAAAATCAGTGCATCTGAATCAGTAAAACTTTAATTTTAACGTAGGGGAAGTAAATTCCAAAAGTGAGCCTGTGCAAGATCCTTTTAAATGCGCTCCTCTTCATTGTTTGGGTAGCACTGAGCTAATGATTGATATGCCTGTTTCACTACAGATTTAATCTTCCAAGCTGTATCTGTTAGTTGTATTTTAGTAGTATGCATAAGCAATAACATGCTATTACAGCAACATTACCTCTTCTTCTTGTTCTTGATCTGATTCTGATTCCTTTCAGTTCCAAAATGCCATGCAAAGAGAGAGGGGGAAAAACGGAGCAGGCAAAATGCAAATTTTTTAGAAGAGTAGGAAAACATAACTTCTGACAACATTTAACAGAAAATAAGAAAATGCTGTATGCTTCTGCAATTGATTTCTTATGTCAAAAAGCAGCAAAACTAAACTGTCAGTTTAAAATACAAAAGGCTACAGAATCAAGCAAATTACAAACAGAAAAGTTGCTTCTGGGTGTTAGACTTCTAGTGATCCTTATTTGTACCAAAACTTAAAATACATACATGCTTTTGCACCCACAAATTAGCATGAATAAATACTTAAAATAGTTAAGAACATAACCCATTTAAGGTTAAAATATGTTGAGATGTGTTATTTTTAAATTATACGAAAATGACATAATAAAAATTATATGCTAAAAATGCTGAGCAATAATGAACACCAACAGGCAAGATTTTGGGCAAACAGCCTAATACGTTCCTAAAAGGCATGCAGCTCCAAATCCGACAAGGACAGTGAAAAAAAAAACGAGTTATCACAGAATAGCAATAAACTGACTCTTTCTAAGGAAACACATGCTTCTTAATATCTGATCTCACTTAAACAGAAATCAAGGGCGCTCCCATGATCTATGAGAATTCAACTGGTCTCAGTCTTGTTATTTATAAATACTAACTCATACTGGACTTTTCCTTTCCTTTTTCTGCCCTTGCTCTTGGACCATTTTCTTCCCCAGGTACACTAATAACCGTTATAACAATATTCTGGAGAAAGACCATTTACACAATGTGACATACTCATAGATTCTTGAAAGATTTGATCAGATGTAGGAAGAAAAGTCAGTGTAAAAAGTCAATGTAATACTAAAATCTAGTCTAAGAAAATATTTTTGGCACTGCTATAAACTTTCCAAATTCTAGAGCCCAAGTCTGCTACATTTTTATCACTATCACCCAGATAAACAAGGCAGTCAGCTAAAAATGCTATTGCAAAGCCCATTAACTTTCACATTGGCAAATGAAAAATAGGACAAAGAATTTTCAGTCCTTCTGTACTTGATGGGTGAAGTTGCTAAGCCACTATCCATCATATTTGAGAAGTCGTCGCAGTCTCATTGAAGTTCCCACTGACTGGAAAAGGGGAAAACCTAACCCCCATTTTTAAAAAGGGAAAAAAGGAAGACCCAGGGAACTACACGCCAGTCAGTCTCACCTCTGTGCCTGGCAAGATCATGGAGCAGATCCTCTGGAAACTATGCTAAGGCACACGGAAAATAAGGAGGTGATTGGTGGCATCCAAAATGGCTTCACTAAGGGCAAATCGTGCCTGACAAATATGGTGGCCTTCTACAACAGGGTTACAGTGTTGGCGAATAAGGGAAGAGCAACCGATGTCATCTACCTGGACCTGTGCAAAGCATTTCACACTGCCCCGTGCGTCATCCGTGTCTCTAAATTGAAGACACATGGATTTGGCAGGTGGACCACTCTGTGGATAAGGAATTGGCTGGATGGCCGCATTCAAAGAGGTGCGGTCAATGGCTCGATGTCCAAGTGGAGACCAGTAACAAGTGGCGTTCCTCAGGGGTCGGTATTGGGACCAGCGCTGTTTAACATCTTTGGTGGTGACATGGACGGTGGGATTTAGCGCACACCTTCAGCAAGTTTGCTGACGACACTAAGCTATGCAGTATGGTCGACACGCTGGAGGGAAGGGATGCCATCCAGAGGGATCTGGACAGGCTTGAGAGGTGGGCCAGTGTGAACCTCATGAAGTTCAACAAGGCCAAGTGCAAGGTCTTGCACATGGGTCAGGGCAATCCCAAGCACAAATACAGGCTGGGCCTACAATGGATTGAGAGCAGCCCTGAGGACTTGGGATGCTGGCTGATGAGAAGCTCAACATGAGCCGGCAATGCGCGCTTGCAATCCCGAAAGCCAAGCAGATCCTGGGCTGCATCAAAAGAAGTGTGACCAGCAGGTCGAGGGAGGTGATTCTGCCCATCTACTCTGCTTTGGTGAGACCCCACCTGGAGTACTGCGTCCAGCTCTATGGCCCCTGTCATAAGGGGGACATGGACCTGTTGGAGCGAGTCCAGAGGAGGGCCACAAAGATGACCCAAGGGCTGGAGCACCCCTCCTATGAAGATAGGCTGAGAGAGTTGGGTCTGTTCAGCCTGGAGAAGAGAAGGCTCCAGGGAGACCTTCTAGCAGCCTTCCAGTACCTGAAGGGGGCCTACAAGAAGGCTGGAGAAGGACATTTACAAGGGCATGTAGTGATAGAACTAGGGGTGATGGCTTTAAACTACAAGAAGGTAGATTTAGATCAGATATAGGGAAGAAACTCTTCACTATGAGGGTGGTGAGGCACTGGAACAGGTTGCCCAGAGAAGTTGTGGATGCCCCATCCCTGGAAGAGTTTAAGGTCAGGTCGGATGGGGCTTTGAACAACCTGGTCTAGTGGAAGGTATCCCTACTCACGGCAGGGGGGCTGGAACGAGACGATCTTTAAGGTGCCTTCCAACCCAAACCACTCCATGATTCATACCTTAAGAACATCATGTCATCTACAGACATTAACCTTACACTTTGTGAAACAGGTATGAACGGTAACTTCCTCTCCAGAGAGGTGTCACAAGACGTGGTTAGACAGTGTGGGAAGTCTCTGGTAAAACAAAAAATGAACCTAGAGTACCTACTCACTGAATCCCAGATTTGTCTCACCCCTGAACAGAATCTGGGTAAAATTTCTGTATGAAATAAGATTAGCATAGCTCTTGTGCAACACCACATGAAAACATTGGAGCTACATAGTGCAAACTGGATGTTTGTCTCCCTTCTGTCATCTCTTCTGAGTTCTCAGAAAACATTCCGTAACGTCTTTGAACACTGGCATTAAGAGTACCAAACCCAAGAAATTGAAAGCCCTTGGATGTATTTATTCTTTAAAATACCTGACTACAAAGCTTGAACAATATCTTGCCTTCCTACTCATTTCTTGTTTATATTATAACACTGATGACTACAGATCAGTATAATTTCACAGTACCTTTGTGTAAATGGGTAAAGTGATGTTTAAGTTACATATGGCTTGATGAACGAGGCCTCTTGTAGATTTTGGCTCCTTCATGAATGATAATCGTCCACAGGGTTCTTGAGTGGTATCTCGCACCTGGTAGAGCAAACGTACAGACATTTAATCTGTTATTTTGCTGCCTGATCTACTTGTGCCACTCAAAACTATTTAGCAGAAAGATGTGGGAGAAAAAGTCCAAGGCAAAAATAATGTTTTTTCTCTTTTTTTTTTTTCCTGCTTGTTTATAAACGTACGTACAGATGTATTTGCGTGTCAAAGCAAGGGAAGAAACAAGCACGTACATGCTTACACAGTAGCAACTTATTTACAGAAGGCAGTCCTAACACTGTAATCAGTCTAAAAAGAACAGAGCTATCCCAGTATGATTAGGCTTCTGTGATAACTTACAACACTCATTTTTCACTGAAGTGGTCCCCAACCTTTATGGTCATAAGAGAGACTCATTTTGTATTAGGTGACAAAAGGAACTAAGTCATTTTCCCCGCTATGGCAAGAATACGTATTTATGCCAAAGTTAGCACGTTTGCTCAAAATTTTAGTATTATTATTGTCTTTGCTCATTTGGCTGCTCTTTTGGCTGAGTGGCTGAAAACAGTGAAAGACTACATTTAAAATTTCTTCTCTTGCAAAACATTTTCTCAAATGTATTGATAAAGAATGAAGAAATTTGCTGGAATATATTTATAGGTGTGACCATTATTATCTACAAAAGATATTACATCATGCCATACTTTAAGATTTTGCAGTCCATCTTAGAAAAATCTCTTTCACACTTGTTAGTAGAAACAAGCATAAGCAGTTGGAACTTAAGATACCAGTGACGTAGTTTTAGCTTTTGTACATAACCTCAGGAGGATTACGTACAATATCACAGAAGAAATACAACTGAAAGCATTACCTCATTCTTAGTTTTCTGAACTGATAAAATGATACAATTAGATACACATGTATTAACTTTATCGGACTGAAAATACTAGATGCAGAGACACACATGTGTTTGAACATATTTTGGAAAATCCATCATGAAGACAAACGTGCGTAGCCAAAGGTAGGTGGTGGCATAAAGTTCTAAATTAAAACAAGCTCACAAAATATTGCTGGAAAGGAGGGAGAGATTTCTAAGTTTTCTAGCAGCATACAGCAAATTTAATACAATGAGGGAATGGGTTGATTTCCTCCACTTTTTTGAAGTTTCCATTTGTAACGCATTTCACTAAAACTGTTTTCTGTAATAGTGCGCTCCGTTGTAGGCGGGATGTCCCAGTAGGAGGAAAAGCTTGTGGGAAGAGGTTTGCAGTGCCCTCCCAATCTCTCTCTCTCCAGAAGAGAAGGTGACGGTGGCTCGGTGACAGCAGCCCTCTCCGCTGCCGGCACAGACCACGGCGTGAGCACCTTTTTACGTGGCTTACGGCTCCCTGCAGACCTCAGGAACGAGGCAGGCGAGCCCCGTGGACCACGGCGTTTACGTCGCTGGCTCTCCAGCTAGGGCTAAAGCGTTAGTTAGTTTTGGATGAACGGAGGTTTTTTGTTTTGGCTTTAGTTTTACAAACGTTCCTACTCGCATAAAAGTTTTCAAAATAGAATAGTGCGGTAATATACGCTACAGGGACAAAACTAGGTTACAGTTGGAAATTTATCCAAATTAATTACTTCCTTTTTCCTTTGCTCTCAAAAACATGGTCAAACGATAACTTGAAATATCCAAAAAGGACAAAGGAACCGTGCTTTTCTTACTGTATCCCCAAGGAAGTTTTGCATTGCAGCTGAAGGGAGGATGACTGGTTGAAGAACAGTTATATCCGTATTTACAGCCATATGATGCATATTTACAAGTGTAGGGTGCAATGATCGTATTTTGACAGATTTCTGCCAATTCTACAATGTTTTCTCACACTTTTTTGCAGTTACCGCATTTTTTCCTGCAATATATTGAACCATGATACAGAAAACCAAACAAGATCAAACCTGATCAGCTCTTTAGATTATTAGGTAGAGAACAGGATTCCTAGAAGTACCATTCGGAAAGAATGCTGTGGATACATGCATGTATAGCAGAACACAGGCACAGATAATTATATTTAGAGAAAAAAGTTACTGAATTTTAGGTAGCCACTTCTGGTTGTTTTGACTACCCAAGGCAACATTTAATCCGTTATCATCAAATAATCTGGAACTGTTCTTCAGTCTGCTAAATTTATTGTAAACTCTGAAGTAGACAAAAAATAAGAATACAATCCATAGGTCATATTATAACATTACCTTAACAAACAGAGGAAGTCTATTTTCTTTGAAAGCAAAAAAACTGAATATATGATGCTGCCCGCTCTTTGTTAGTGGCACCAAATTGCCAAAGCAGTCAACATAGATGGGTTTTCCTTCTAATACCTATTGGAAATGAGAAAGAAGCAAAGCAGCAATTAATCACAGTGAGGTGATTAGGATTTCTTCTTAAGCATTATTCTACAGTAGTTTCAATCAATTTTTTAAAGTGCTAGGACATGGCAGCATTTACCAGATTTGTTATGTACAGTTACCTAAAATCTGTTGAAACATTTCAGATTATTACATTCCAAATGGAATACGTTGTTAATTCAATAACAACAGCTTGACATTATAAATGACAAAAAGAGTATTCAGCATCATGAATCTCGGCAAATTCTCAACCTGTATTCTAATTTGGATTTTTTTATTGGCTCTAATTTCAGCACACTTTGCTAACCTGGCCTCATCATAACAGTCAAAGAAATATTTTCTTCAGCAATCAAATCAAAAGTCCTTGTTTTGACAGGTAAGAAAATAAGCCAGTCTGGGAATGCCATGAAGTTGCAGAGAACCTTTTTACCGATGCAAAAACTTCCTGAATTAGATGACCTATGTGTTTAATCTACTTGCAACAGTCTGCTGCAGCAGGCAAAGACAGTGTACATCAGCAGATTCTCTTTATTTCAGCGGGATTTGTGAAAGCCCAGAACTTTTGAAAGTCAGGCCTCGGGTAAATGCCTCTCTGAAATGCCTATACAATGATACTGCCTACGTCTTTGGATTGCTATTGTTATGGCCCCCTCCGCACGTTTAAATCTCAGCTTACCAGTTTTGGAGATGTTCCCTTCAAACTGTCAATACATTAACATCTCATCCTTACTCCCCAGAAATTCAGCCTTGTCATTCACTTTTATAAGCCCATGTTTTATCTAGCTGCTCTGCACAAGAAATGCCTGTCAGAGCTTCAGGAACAGCAAGGACAAACTTTTTTACATGTGGGATTCTCATGGAAAAGAGACCATACTAAGCAGAAGAATATGCTATGCATGTAGTTAAAGCACTTTCAGTTTGTCATCCCTTCTGAGGAAGCTTTTCAGAGCCAGAAAAACTGCATTTAGCCAGATTCCACACAGGAAAGCTTTTGGCTGTTCAGCAACAGATTTTTTTTTTTTTTTTTTTTTTTTTTTTTTTTTTTTGGTAAAGCAGAATATTAACCAAACCTGCTAGTTCAACTTCTTGGTACGCAAAGATGCTGACAAAATGTGACTCCTGCTGACTGTCTTTTTGGTTAGTGATATTCATTTATGGAGTTACTGGAAGTTCAGATTTACCTGTCCTTTTTGGCTTTGACTATCTCCCCTTTTCTGGCAACACCCACGTAGTGCCAGGTTCAGCAAAGAACACCACCCTCAAAATGCATCTTCACTCAGACGTTCCTCTAAGAGGAAGTTAGTGACTAAGAAACTCAAGGTGTCCCCTGGCACTTTGCTACAGAGCTAATTAAAACTAAGTACCACCACAGAAATGACTAGGAGATACTTGGATTGAATTTAGGGCTAAGCCTGCATCTACAGAACTTAGTTTTAGGCTAACTGAGGAAAAAGTCCATTTACAACACCCATCCGCTACCTCTCAGCTCGCTGTTGAGTGCCTTAAGTCTTTAGTCTTGTTGTGCACCTGAAACCCCAGCCAAGCTACACAAAATTCTTACAAACTATTCCATTTTGTTTATTATCTATTTATATTATTTTTCAGTACTTGTGAGAGATAAAAGGCAGAAAATATTAGCTTAAAAACAGACAGAAAATGGAGACAACTGTTTAAGATTCTTGTACAGTACCTCTACATCCCTGCTTCTGGCAACTTCAGCAAAATTCTCCTGTTGTTCTAGAGTTTTATCCACCTTGTCATCTGTCATGCAAAAACATCTTAACCGTGCTTCAACAGGATCATGTGATTTGGCAAACACCACAAATTTGGCCATGTAAGGGACACAGATAATCTCTCTGTACACTTGGGAAGCAAAAGTAACAGATTCCTGTGTCTGTCGACAGTCTATCAACCAAAATCTGGAAGAGAAAATGAAGAGTTGCGTGATCAGCACAGAAAGATTTAAGCAAGAAAATTATGTTTTCCCATCCTGGCAGCATTAGCTGGTACCCACAGCAATTGTATGAGACAAGTCAGAATAAAGTAAAAAAAAAATAGTTACCATTTGGGAAGAATAGCCTAAGAATGCTCATGGTACCCCATACGCATTTAGGAGCATGAAGCAAAATCAACATGGAAAGCATCTGGACCAGAGCTTACTCTCCTAAATACCAGATGCAAACCCTTCACAGAGTCTCCTGCTGCACAAATTCCAGGCCATTGTTGGCCTTTCTGATAAGATCTCACTCAACTGGAAGCTTATTTACTTCCAGGTACAAGACTGGCTTTTAAAGGCTTCAAGAAGTTCACTTGTCCTGTGGCAGACAGTCTCATACACCTTCTCTGGAGATTTAAATACATGAACGTTTTCATATTTTTGTGTTTATGAAATATACATATTACATTTATAAGTATGCTTATAATATTTAAACAATTGTTGACGGCTTACCAAAATCAAGAAATTCTGGAAATTCATCACAGTATCCAATAAATGTTTCTTCTTCTATTCAACAGTTGGCTATGGCCTAAACTTTGTTTTCATCTGAATTGATTCCTTATAGTGGGAATATGTGATCAAGTGTTTCCTGCCTTTTGCCAAGAAATAAATCTCTTCCAGAATAAGCTCAGTGGTCTCTGTTTTCCATCACTTTCAACAGTTCCTGATGACATTTGAAATGGTGATTGATCTTATCACCGTTCTTCTAGAGCTGCCCAAAAGGTATTTGTTCCTCTTTATCACATGTCATGATTTAATTTTTATGCAGAATATAAGTAGAGAAGGGTGTACCAGAAGCGTACAGTTCCGATTTCGCCCTAACCGTGACTCTGCAATACGTGCCCTTCATCTAGAGAAATATAGGGTTTTTTTGACAGCTGGTTGCTGCTAAACATCTGATGATGCAGAAGAGAGTAATGTCCCATAAAAACCTTACTAAAATTGCTTGCATCCAGTCATATGCCAAGCCTGTCATTTCTCTCCCAGGTTATGACTAAACTGTTAAACCAGAGAGTGGGCAATTTCATCCTTTTCTCTTTAGCCCACTGAAATCTTCCCAGGCATTGTAACATTTCCTGTTGTTAGGTGCTGGACCCATCAGTACACCACGCTCGGGCATTAGTGAACTGCGTACAAACTTCCGACGTGACAGGAATGCTGTGAAATTTTCCCAAATTTTATTGATGAGGAACAGGAGACTGCAAGGGCTTTTGGCATATGTTGCTAATCCTTCAGCCTGTTCGTGGACCTCCATCTCTAACAGGTGAAATAGAAAGCTGCCTTCCCCAAAACGCTTGTTTTAGTTTCTACTATCTAGCTTAAAGGTTAGCTGTACATTCCTTACCTATGGTCTCAAAAACTGAGGGTCTTTAGGTGAATGTAAATGATTTTGTCCACTGTGAAATACTGCATGAAAAATCAGAAATTATTCTTACGTGAATTCAGTCGGGGACTTTTAACTTTGATTTTGTGGTAAGTTTTTTTTACGCATATTGAAGACCAGCGATATATAAATTTCTATATCTGAGCTGTATTCTATTTTGAAGACCCTGAAGGCAGGTGTGTCCACATCTGGTTCCTACTACCCTTGCCTCACAGAGGCTGTGATCACCGCTGACTCACTTTTCATCGTGGTTTCTAACACGCCGTTTTACTGACAGCGCCTTTCTAATGTATATGCTGAATCTTCTGTACCAGTGGTTCCCAGTCTGTGACACATATACCACAAGTCAAACATAAACATGTGCAAAACAACAGGCAAATACTACTGGAATAAGTTACTTCCTCTGCACAGTGTGATTGGATTTTAGGAAAAATTCACGGAAAGAGTAGTCAAGCATTGGACCAGGCTGCCCAGAGAGGTGGCGGAGTCCCCATCCCTGGAGGGGTTCAAAAAACGGGCAGAGGTGGCACTTTGGGACATGGTTTAGTGGGCATGGGGGTGTTGGGTTGACAGTTGGACTGATGATCTTAGACATCCTTTCCAACCTGAATGATTCCTAGTTTTTACTGTCATCAAAAAATAATCCAGCCACCAAGCCAGGAAACACGAAATTGCTACTCTACCCTGAATTGGTTTAGCGGTGGACTTGGCACTGTTAGGTTAATGGTTGGACTGGATGATCTTAAAGGTCTTTTCCAACATAAACGATGCTGTGATTCTATGACTCTAAGCCAGGAGCTGCCACTGCTATCTCATTCAGGTACCCCCATGACAGAGAAATACTTTAAGATTACAGGGTAAGGTCATAAATTGTCTGATTTCACTAACGTAGTTATTACAAATGAACATCTGCCTCTTACAAAGTATTGCTAGCGCATGTGAATTGGAACAAACCACCTCAAAACTTATCAAATATACACGCTTACTTAAGACATACCACGGATGTTGCAACTCGTGCCTAGAACTTCAGCTTCCAGAAACAGGTCCTCTTGTGTCAAAAATGACCTTCCTCTTTACTGGAAACTACAGGTTCTTCACCCTTTCTTTGGGCCATTCAGGCCAGGACAACATTGCCCAGTAATAAAAATCTACAGAATTTCCTCATACCTTTGTCAAGACACCTGAATTGTTGTTTTGCAAAGATAACAACTTTCACTTGAAATAATTCTACTTCTACTCCCAAAATGTAACAGCAGAAACGCACCAAGCATTTTACAAGGAGTAACATGTACTGCTTGCTTTCTCAGATATCACTTCCTTCAGTTTCTCCGTGGAGCTGATGACATTTCTTTTAAATAAAAATCACTGTGTGGGTGGAAAGTACACTTGAGTTTGACACCCGTAGGATGGAGACAGAAGTCATGAGAGGTCAAAGACACCTCAAAAGTTGATATAATCTACAGGGGGCTTATTACTTACTGCAGATTACATGGTATTATAACCCACAAAGCATACCTTTCAAGTGTGATTTCTCTTACTCATCTGCTGTTGAATAATACCTGTGCTTATCTTTAGAACATTTAACAAACACACTGGTTAAAAAACAGGCTGACGACATTTGAAAGAGAGAAAGCATGTTTGGTACATAAAGGCTCTGCATACTGCTACTTTCTTTGCTTTTCATGTGTGGGAGAATTATGCTATGCTGGACTCAAACTGGAGAGGCTATATCCTCTGAGAAATCACCATATGCTCAAACGATTTGCTGTCATACACCAGGGGCTAAAAAGCCCAAACAGATACTAAATTTTTAAAAAAGCTGCAGCTCAGGAAATGGAAAACAGCTATGCCTCAAAGTCTGCAGTTTAATTCACATGGATTTTAGACAAATGTATCTCTTGCCCAAGCTCATTAGAATTAGTCTTATGAATGGGAAAATTGTTCTTCATCATTAATGCTTTAACTAGCCATAAACAAGTTACTGTGAACAGCAAACAGCCAGGAATCAGCTGATTCTCAGCAGGGCACAAGGATAGATGCACTTTTAGACCAGGGCAAAAGCGAAGAAATTCAAGGAAGCTTGCCCTTCAGCAAAGAAGATAATTAATTCTCTGACTGTAACTACATGAAACTTCCCATTTGCTAACTTCAACAGCATTTAAAATCATGTTGGAGTTCAAGTAGTCTGTCGAACGTTCATTTAGATTAAGAAGAAGAGGTAGAACCCATTAAAATCTCTACATGGGACCCCGCCTATACCACAGAACTTTAGCAACAGTAATCAATTTTAATGACATCATCAGGATTAGGAAACATCCACTACTAATATGGATTGCAGTTCCATAAACTGTCACCCTCATTCTGGCTGTATTTCATGTGTAGCCCTGCCGGGGACTTCACAGTTTTAGGGACTTTGACCTCTCAAACTTTGCATCTCGTCTCCACATCTGGTTCTTAAATTAATCTTTAATTTATCCCTTTGAAGAGAATACTGCAGGTAGCAGATGAGAGCTAAACCACACTTTAAGACCTCCCTCTTGTGGTCAGTGCTGTTAAAAATATTTAGTTGAACTGAAAAGAAATGTACATAAGCAAAGCATCCAGCTTCATGGGAAGAAAGCCATTTCTGAACTGAGAAAGCATAGAAAAATAATACTTTATTTTGCCTGATGTTAAAGTTATGCTGTAGGTTGGACTGCAAAAGCTGAACTCATTTTAACATTGAATAAATTATTTTATTAAATAGCAAACCTAATCTAATAGTAATAACCGCTCTGGACACTGAATGTTTGCACCGAAGGAAATGAATTGATTTTCATGGGCAAGTTATCCAAGTTTTTTGTAACTGTTTGCTCGACTACACACCCTAAATTTAATGCTTTCCACGTCATGGACTGCATCTCCTATTACAGAGAAAGAGATTTTTGAGCATTTCTGTGATATAAATCATGGATAGTTTATAAACTAAAATACATGCACATATATATATATGTTTTGGGGTTTTTTTTTTAATATGAAATTCTCTTTTCAGAAAGACAGCAGTTGAATCTCATCACAAGAACAGATGGTTGGAAGAGATTCTTCCAGATCACAGTTTGGTACACCTACAGGCCTTTCTGCTTGATTTCTCATTTGTTGGATATTCTGGAAGTAACATCTTTTATAAGGTCTATAATGAGCTACCCAAATAAGGGATTTCTGTTTCCATGGAAATTTGCATATTTCTGTGCCTGGGAGAGAAGGGGTATTCAAAATGAAACCAGATTTTTTTCTAACTACCTGAAAAATCAAACCGTCCCTCAGATTACTATTTCAGAAAAAATGCGGATGTCATTAATTCATTTCTGGGACCATAGCAGGTGCTGACTGCAAAGGACTAATGGCCGAGATAAAAATCATAGAATCATAGAATTGTTTAGGTTGGAAAAGACCTTTAAGATCATCCAGTCCAACCATTAACCTAAATGACACAAACATCACTTCCTTTCCGCAGCTGGTAAGGGCTGTAGCTCTTACGGCTCTCGTACATCATCTGTCTGGGCTAAGGAGGCTCAGGGCTTCCAAAATACCTCGCCAACTGGTTCACCGCATAGGCAAAATATCTGTGTTCCTTCTACTACATAAAAATAGTTTAAAGGCAGTATCTGTTGAAATGAAGACGTATAGTTGAAAGTAACACTGTAAAACTCATGTTTTGTTGTATAGGTACCTGGCAGACACATTTGTTGTGAAGGAAACACATTCATTAACAAATGTCAGTGGTGTTGTTCCGGTGATGTCTTCCCATTGGGCAGGGGTGGTTCCTCCTGAAACGATAGAGATTTAAAAAAAAAAAATTAAAACCAAGCAAGCCTGCAACTTTCTTGCTTCTAAGAAATATTTTACATTCCTCTGAGTTTTTAATCACTATGAGACCAGTAATAATCCCAGACATGCCTTCTCCTTAGGTCCGCATTATTCCACTAATGCTAGTAGGATTGTATGGGTTTCCCCTGAGAAAAAGTGCCCAAATGATTTTCAAATGATGAGTCCTGTAGCACAGCTCCAGAAGTGTTAAAAGAGGCTAGAATTTGGGGGGGGGGGGGGGGAGAGACGTAATTTATTAGCAATTACTTTTGTTCGCTCTAGACTATTCACATATGCGGGGCAAAATTGGCCCAGACATAGTGCAGTTAAACCTATATTGTTACACTTGGGAAGCAATAATTTACTAATAATGACAGCTGCAATTTATGATTTCTATAATCTACTTGGTTTTCAAATAATTCAAAGACTCGGGTCCAGTATGTACATAACTAAGAAATTTCTTTTGCACGTTGCTACGAAAACCGGTGAAACAATCTGTGTCTGACAAGCTCCCCGGAAGACGGTGCAGTTGAAATGGGCACCTCCATATCATGCCGTACAACAGCCTTCTGGGTTCCTAACAGCCTATTAAGTGTTTCAGCCCTTTGTCATGGACATTGCCAGCTCCCTGTTTGGCCCATGCAGCTGAAAACGTGGGCACAATCTGTCACCCTGCAGCTGTGTTTTCAAGTTCTTCAGTATACGTCCCTGCCTCACCTTTTGGTGAAGAGTGGCCAGTTGGTTGCCAGTTACCTTAAAACCACACTGAGCTTACAGAAAACAGAAAGAGAAGTGTTTCTTTCTGACAGCAGTTACGAATATTTATAACACATGCAGAACTAAAGGAAAAACTATGCATAAGCAGGGCTAAGTCAGAACGTGTGTCTGTCCCTCCTCTCATATACAGCTGACTTGTTGGATATCCGTTTGACCATGTAGCACAGTCTTTATGCAAACTTTAAACCAAGCTGTGTCTGTAAAGGAATAGTAGTTTTCAGAAAATACCTCCTTTCTCCTTTTGGTGAAGCGTTCTTGGAACCAATTTCCCTTTTGAAGTTTTCTAGAGGATCCTTGCAGATTTACTGTCCCTCCAAGAGACTTACTCAAATTCCTCTTTATAGAGGAGCCCGTTCTTCTCTATTTAAATAAACATTGTTTCACTCTCTTGGAAATGCAAATACTTCTTTGTTGACCAGATGTTGTTTCTGGTATTTCAGCAGCTACCTAACACCTTTGTACGAAGAAATTGTAAAAGCACCTGTTCTCTGGAATGACTCATTGGCACATCTCAGCGTGTAATGCATCTCACATTGGCTTGGTATTTGAAATCAGCTTGAAAATTAAGATGCTAACTTCTAAACAGAATAAATGCATGCAGCTCATTTCTGCCTCTTAACTGTGACTGAATGAGATGCTAATCACTTTGGAGTTACAGCAAGTATAAAGTGTTTAACTCCAATATTTCCCTCCGAAGCATACTGCAACATTATGTCTGCGCTACACTTGCTCTGCTAGGCAGAGGTATGTTGGTTCTCAACAAACAAACTGTAAGGAAAACACAAAAAACCCCCAAACCCCACGTCTATGATTATATTACGCATCTCTTGTCAGTCCAAACACCAAATGTTATTTCTGCTATAAAGTAATTGTTTGGAAAGTAGTTTATTTTCACAGCCTCTCATCCCAGTCGGGTTTTCACCAAGCTTCCCATGCGTATAATCAGTTTAATATATTCAGCCCACGATGACTGACAATTTTGAGATGCACATAAAAAGCTCTGGTACTTGCATCCTACCTGTTATGCTGCATAGTAACCTTAAAGTGGGCGTGTCGCCTCCATAACCATTCATGATCCCATCACTGGAGGCCTTGGGGACGGGAATCGTCATCGTGATGGGTTTATGGAACTTTCTTCTCCTGGGCTCCAGGGTGACTATAGGACTGAAGGTAGCCTTGTTGCCTAAAATCTTCTTTATAAGTTCCGTATGCATAGGTTGAGCCTTTCCAAAGCAAAAGACAGAATAGTTACTTGAGAATGGTTTAACGAGTATGTAAAGAACTGGGTCTGTATATTGCCACAACACTCTTAAGTTTTGACACTAAATATCGCAATTTCCCACGAAAATCTGCAGCCAGAAGAACTGGCTGCCAGTGAGAAGGGGACACCTCCCTTTTTCAACTTCCCCACGCCTTCCTCCTCTTCCTATTGCCTTTCTTGGTGCTTGTCAGACCCTTTACAGCAATTAATTTAATTCACTTAACCAGTAGCAAATGATTCCCTTGTAACCCCCCCCCTTTTTTTTTTTTCCTTAGAACAAGCTCCGAGCTATTTTAGTAAGCTACTTGGCTATTCACAGGGGGTTTCAACCAGCACAGTCTCTTGGCCAAGGTTAAGTTGTGGATGCATGCAGCGGGAGGAGGGCACGGAGGTAGGGGAAAGACTTCCCCCTCTTTCAGTAGTGAACTGTTAGGCTGCTTTACTTCACGCTGAGAATCTGTACACTTGACCTAGTTACTAGAGCACTTTGTGCTTCTCTGATGCCTTTCATAAGACGTACTTAAGAAATTGTTCTATGACCTACACTAACATCATCATCATCGCCAAAATTAGGTGCTTTTCCCAAGATCGTTTAGACAGTTAACAGATAGGAGTCTGAATTAACTAGAATACCCAAAGCTTTACCGCTTTCTTTGACTTTTGCATGGATTTTTTTTTTTTTAATTATTTTTACTAGAAGCTTTCTAGACAACAACATGCAACACGATAAGCTGAACATGCTGGTTCTCCACTCGAAGGTGATTTTACACTAACCAAACCCAAAGATAAGCCTTATAACTGCTTCATTGTACCTGGAGGCCAACGCGAATTCTTTTGGTTAGAGCCCCTTCTGGGAAGACTGCCTGCACTTGCGGTACAACAGTGCTGCTCAGCACACCCCCCTCGGGTCCGATAAGGTTGCTGTCCTGTTTGATGCGGGATACCACTGCGAAGTACTGAGGGAAATCTCGGGTGATGATGCGGCAGACACGTTTCTTCTCAAGCTCCTCTGGAGTGTCAAGCACTGAGGCCGAAAGAGAAGATGGTCAGAAGACAAGACTTTTGTAGAAACAATGCAGCGAACTTGAAAATGCATTCAAGCTTTTCACAGTTCAGCTGCAACTTCCAAAAGTATTTAGCCTAGAAATCAAAGAGGAAAAGGAAACATACCCCAGTATTTTAAGTTCAGCTAAAACAGAGAAATCAAGAAAGCAAGAGACACACAGACTGAACAACTAACTGAAGGGAGCTTAAGACAGCAAACTCAGGACACGTTGAGAACATCCCCAAAATCAGCTGGCAAACAAGCAAAGGGATTGGTCCAAGGGATTGGTCTACTTCGCACATGTACACTACAGCCTGGAGCAGTGTCAAGAAAACTAAACTCCAAATCCAAAAAGCATCAATGCATGAGTTCAGCTTTAAGTATGTGAGTTGGCTTGCTTACTTTGTGGTTTTGTTTTTTGTTTTTGTTTTTTTGGTTTTTTTTTTTTTTAAAACAGCCATCAAAATTAATAACAAATTCTGCAGATCCTAGACAGCCCAAGGCCATTCTGTTCTCTCAGAAAGCAAGAATACCCATGACTGACATTTCCTCCCACACATAGAGCTGCTTGGAAAGGATGAATATGATAATTGCCTTGTTTTGGAAAGATGTTTGCTATGGAAGCTTTTCGTTTACCACTATGAAAAGGAGCAGCAGAAAACATAAGTCTAGCATCTATTCGCAACTTCGTGGTGGTAGATTTTGGTTTGCTCCACTGCTTCAGCAGACTGTGCGAGGGAAGTAAGCACAAGCACACAGTGCTTCCACTGGCTCCTGGACTGAGAACAGGATTACGCTCCAGTGTGACTCAAACGAAGTATCTGGAGAATGTAGTGTCAGAAATTCTAGGGTGGACCAAACACGAGGTGCTAAATAGAATAAATGGTAAAAAGCTATCACCCCCAGTTACAGAAGTAACGCAGGAGCAGAAGAAAAAAAAAGGTCCCATTGGATACCTTCATCCATCCCATTCAAGATTTCATTCAGCTCGTCCTCAGTGTATTCACAGAAATGCTCCTTCCAGCTGTCCCCGTTCTCACTGCGCAGGATCACCAGCTCTCTCTCTTTCCCACGCAGAGCAGCAAAATGGGGAATCTCCACAATCACAGGCCTGGCACAGCAACACAGCGCATTAAATGCACACGGGAGAGAGGAAGAAACAGGATTAACAGCAACTCCATTCAGTCTGCTACAAAGTGACCTGGAGTTCTACCTATTTCGCTGGAATACTTTGGCATAATCCTAAACTAGTAGGTCACTAACACATATTAGATTTTTACAGGGACCCAGTAGATGCCGAAGGACAGATTGAAAAGTGCATTCACCTCTTTCCACAGTGTGAATGATATTTGGTAAGATAACAGTGCTTAGCTAGAAATTTGGTAATCGTTTTGCAAATTCATAAAAAACTCATGCTCGTTTTAGTTGTCACTACTGTCTGGGTTAACCTGTGCAACTTCATTTCAAAGAGAATCTACTGTAACATGTAGGAACAGTGGGACAAATTCTGATCTCGCTTATACTCGTGCAAATCAGAATAATTTCATTGCAGTCAGTGGGCAATTGTGTCCTGCGCCAATTCTACTTCATTGTAACCCTATATATTCCAATGAATTTATTTCTGATTTACACTCTGGGAGAGATAAAGGAGGTCTGAGGAGATCATCTGGGTTTCTATTTCAGTATAGGAGATAAGAATTTGCCTTGTTGCCTTACAAGCCGATGTCAATATATGTATCCGTGTATGCGTCCATACATATATATACACACACATATACAACACATGTGTACATATAATATATCTATATTTCTATATACATATACATACATACTCTTGGAAATAAGAGAGAAAATACAAATATATTTGTATATACACTTCTCTAATCAGAGGACTCACACAGGTTACCATGTACATAGTAAATGTCATGTGTTCTCTTATACTGGTGTTATCCAACATATAACTTATTGATTAATCAGTCCTTGATACCAAAAAACATCTTAAAATTTACAGTAGATTCCTTTTTTTTTTTTTTGACCCAATCCAGGTTGCTTTGCTACAGACATCAAGCACATAACTAGGAAGATTTCATGCCAAAACAAAAATGAAGGCCACAGTACTTTAAGAAAAAGATACGAACATACCACCAAAACAAAAACCACATACCACAAGGGTTGAAAAATGGTCCACTACGGGTTAGGTATACAAAATTTCAAATGATAGAAAGGGACAATATCATGGGCATAATGACATAAAAAAATCATATTGCAGAAGGAGGAGAAGAATGGGGAGGTCAGCATCCATCAATTTGTTTCAAGTCTCTCCTACCCAAGGAATTTGGTCCCAGGAGGCCCCAGCTGAAGGATTCGGCTGACCAAGCTTTCTCCCTCATTAAGTGGGGGAGGAGCCGTAGGCAGATGAAGTTTACTGAGTACATCCAAAGCAGCAGTGAAAGAAAGAACATAAATAAACTTTATGTATTTTTTGTGCCAGAACGCCAGTGCCACTGTCTGGTCCACAGAGTGGAATTAGGCTGTACACTGAATAAGGTTCCGTCCTAGCGCTGACAATTTGGTGATCAAAATCAGCAAAATTAGTTCCCTTAAATTTAGGGTCTTTTCTTGCTTAGGGGAAGACAATGGGAGTTTTGGCAGCGAACTCAATGGGAACAGGATTCGGACCTTAGAACGCGTCTCTGCAAAGAGTACAGTCATTTTCTGATTTCACTGCCAGTACAACACCTAGAAAAAATGCTTGCCGGAAGGGCACAAAGATCTGAGAAGGATCTTTGAGAAGGAATAAAACTGTGCTATATCCTGGTCTTTCAGGTGAGACATTTTCATTAGATAGAGAAACCATTAAAAAGAAAAGGGGAGACATACTTAAGGTCAATTTGTGTGCGTGACAACGGTAATGGGAAGACTGAATGCGACAGCACAATATTTCTTCTGCTCTTTAGATTTCTTTCCGCTTCTCTTTAAAAGTGACCGAGATGTGAAAAGAATAAGTGGTACAAAGCATCTGATTAGCCAGCTCGTTTGCTGTTACTCGTGGTTTTAATATGTATCCTGTCTGTCAAAAGGAATGGTTGGCTCGCTCTGAGCTCTGAGCATCACGTTCGCAGTGTTTCAGAACCGCTCTTGATTTTTTTCCAGATTAGAGCAACAGTGAAGTAGCCAAAACACGTCCTGGGGATGTTTTCCTTTCACACTCCATATAAAAGCAGGAGGCAGTTAAAAACTACCAATCCACTTTTTTCTCTCGCTAAGCTCAATCTTTTAGAAGAAGCACTAACAATGATAGCGGCTCTGATGACTACCTGTTACAGCAGGATTTTAAAGCAACTGATCCGTTTGGAAATGGATTTAAACCATCGCTGTTTACAGAGTCACTTTTTTTTACAATTTCTGAACGAAGCTATTTATTGCAACAGAAGGGGTTCCTTCAATCATCCACTTTTGGATGCCACAGCTGATAGGGAGAACAGTTGGTAAAACAAATAAAAAAAAGTGGGGATAACCGCTGCTTTCAGCTGAAAATTGCTAGAACAAGCTCAGCAGCAGACACAAATCTGATCTTTCTACGGGTTTTGCAGCATAGGACAAAAGAAATGGCCAAAAAATTCCAGGGTTGTCCTATTGCTTAACGTAGCAATTTCAACCCCAGAAAAATCAAAGGCACCGTGCTTCCCAGAGAGTCCAAATCACTGATAACACAACACAAGTCTCTAAAATAAGCAGCTGTAACTTGTGTTGTATGCGTAGCAGGCTTTACATTTGGGCTGTAGATCAGTGCTGTGCTATTCATGCCTTATACGCAGATTATTGAAATAGAGTATGAACCGCCCTTTCGGGCTGCAAAGGGGTCTTTTCCCGCCATAATATCACAACACTGAGCAATAGTTATATCCAAGGAAGCACATCAACCTTAGCGCTAGCGGTTAAAACATCCGTTTTCAAAGGAAAAGGCGTAAAAGCTTTGTGAATTGTTAGCTAACGGCTGATTTGTATTTCACGCGACCAGTCTGTTACCGTACGTGACAAACATCTTTTTCTGCTCGAGTCTTGGAAAAGGAACCGTTTCAGTGCAACGCGCAAACAGAAGAAAATAGACCGAGCGTTTTCCTTTAGGCCATACGGCACCCCTTACCCAAGAAACTGGGCGCCGGAAGGTCCAACCTCAATCAGGCGGCTGGCCAGCCCTTCGCCCTCCACCATGGGAGGCATGGTGGCCAGCCTGTGGCGTTTCACCAACCGGCAAGTCACTCGTGTTGGAGCAGTGCATTTCCGCGGAGGAATAATGATTCGTAGTCCGTTGTGTCTGCAACCTCTCATGGCACCCCCGCGAGCATCCACCATGAAACTAACTAGGAAGCTGAAAAATCGGGGGGGGTGGGGGGGAGGAGAAAAATAAATTAGATACAAAACATATCAAAATTCCTTTGGTTATGCTCCACGTATGTAACAAACTACGTACGTAAATATAGCTCTTTCTCAAGGTGTACGATTAGAAAAAGCCTTTCTCCCATGTGAAGCACCAAATCATGCTACGATCATTTATTAATCAAACTGGCAACTGCTATCTAAGAGTTCTTCACAGAAGGTCTTGTTTTACCGTGCTGCTGTTGGTAAAAACACCAGCAGTCACTAATAAACATGAGCACATGTGTGTGTACCTATCACAGTCAAGTGCAAATATCACTACTCTGCACCTGCAAGCATCTATATTGTAAAGTTGGCACTCTTTAAATACTTTACGAGCAAATACATCTTACTGAAGAAAATTATTTATGACTCAAGACTATAAAGGCAATTCTGATTGGAGGGGTTGTTGGGGTTTTTTTTAGGTTATCTGTGTAATTTTTCTAGTTATTTGATGAACTATAATCTCTAAGAAAAATGGGTTTGGATTAAAAAAAAAAAATCTAATTTCATTCTGGAGGGTGTGGATACAATTCGTAATATATCAATGGAGCTAGCACCTATTTATATAAAAAACCCAACATGTCATTATTGTTTGAAGACAAATTTTGCATTTTGGTGAGATGAGAATAGCTACAGTCACTGTGGAAGAGGTTTATTTATGGATTCTTGGTTTTCTGTGTTACTTTGCACAGCAATACGACGTCCCAGTGGAAAACTGCAGAAAGCCATCTACAGAGAGCTCTCTTCTTGCACAAGTTAAATTATCTTATTTCTTTCTTTTTCTTTAAAAGGGAGAAAAACATTTCATGGAATTTCTTTTATGCTGAACTTTTTATAGTTCCATATATAACCAACAGCTAGGTTTTGACAGATTTGTTACAAAGATTGGGGACATTCTTGGGAAAGGTGTAGAACTACTTCAATTTTTTTTTTTACTGGTTCATGACTTAGGATCATGCCTGATGTGGGATGGGAATGTCAGGTTGCTGGAAGTGAAAATAAGAGTAGATGAGACAGAATGGTATCAAGCCTACTTCTAGCCACTAAAATAGAATCATCACATGGGGAGTCGCAGAAATGCTACTGAAGGACCTGCAATAGAGAAAAGCCCTTATAACACGAGTAACAAATACAGGTATTTTGGCACCGTCCCCTTGAGCGTTCAGTGCGACGAACATTGCACCCATTCATTGTCCACCCAGCTACAAGTAATTCCACATGCTGTAAGAACACAACACGCAACACACCGTGCAAGTCAGAAAAATGGACGATGGGAAGGAGCCACAAGCGCCAGTCCAAAGCACACCATGCACCACGGATGCCAGTCTGTCTCACACATGCAGTCTCCTATTCTACTGCCATTCATATACCTCTAGGTTTTGTTTAGTGTAAAAGTCTGGGTAGTACAACCATTATCTCATTCCTTAGAGGTTGGTGTTTCTGTGGTTTTAACAAGGGGGGAAAAAAAGAAAATGAAAACATTTTACAGCTTTGATTCTCTGGGGATTAATTTAGAAAAATGGGCGCTTCCTTCATAATAAAATACATACTTTATACATTTTAAAGCACAGAGGAAAGAAGAGCGTAAGAGATACTAAAGGCTCAATGGTTGCAATAATGCTCTATGGCTTGCATTGCAGTTCTCCTTCAACTGTATGAAGCAGCGTTATCAAAGTGGTTCTGAATGATGTTTCGGAGAATGGGTCCAAGTCTCTATCATAATGGGTGCCTTAGAGGTAGTTAAGAACACTGAGTGCTGGAAGAAGAGTTTCATATTTTGATGTTAATACTATGAGCAACAGAAATACTACCCCCACAATTACCAGAAGCTAATGAGCGCACTCACTGAATTAAATTAGCGTTCACATTGTTCATTGTGTAAGCTGTCATGAATACAATTTTTAAGATTCAATTATTTTCATTATTGACCTAATACTCAAGATTTTATGCTTTAACAACAGGATCACCTTCTTTCGCTGTCCATCACTGAAATATTAGTGCTAGGTCATCTGTCTGTCTTATGTCCCCCTTAGCTTATCTCCCCATGTGTCTCAGCAATGCCAAAACCACTGTCAACTGCTAGAAGAATACGTGCACACCAAAGGCAAGGGTCATAATCAAATAATCTCCCTTCTGACCACAATAATGGGTTCTGTTGCTTGTAATACAGTGCTCTTTCTCCCTATAGTAATTCCTTTGAGACTAACTAAAAGATAAGCAGAGTGCTGAAATAGTAGCGCCTTCTCATAACGGACTTGTTACACAATTAAGATAGCTCGCTCGTGGTGTAGAACCAATATAAAAGCTGAGGAAGCAGGAGCAGTCTTTGATTTTGACCATCTGTAACAAACCGGTACCTCACCTCACACACCCAGGCGTAGCCCTGTGTTCCCACACCTGCAAAATTTGGGAGCTAATACAGATCACTTAAAAATGGAGCGTGGCGTTTGTCTCCAGCGAGCACTCGAGATGCAAAGGGATAGCTGTGTGTGTTCAGGCCTTAAAGTCGCAACTTTCTCTTTCGGTTTAAGTTTACTGAATGTGCCTGGTAGGTCAGAGCAAGGTCTGGCAGTGAATCTGTCGCAAGGTCTATTGGTCATCTATGGCTGAAAGCAACTAGTGCTCCAAAGAGTGGAGAAATGGGTAGAGATCGGTGTCATTGGAAGGTGGACACATAACAACGGTTAGGATAAGAACAGTAGGATGTTATTATTCACTGTAAAAACAGCTGCTTCTATCATAAAGATCAATGTATTTACTAAATAACAAGACACAATCTGGCAAAGAGGACGTTCATCACGGTATACCCCAAAAAATAGATTTGTGCCGTATCACTGCAACGGACCCCCAGATGAAAGGGGAGATTCTGGAAGGGTTCGGTGACTTCCGGATGAGTCTGAAACCACCTAAGAGACTGCAAGTACCCTTCAACTGCTGGACAGCAAATTCAGGCAAACACAGAATAGTATGAGGACAGCAGAGAAAGATTAGTGCCAATTATCATACTAAACACAGAGGAGCCGGTTCGCAAAATCAGCTATATACTGCTATGAAATTTCCGGAAAACAAGTTTTGGAGAACTAGCCTGAATATAGTGCGCAAAAGAAAGAAACCGAAGGGGGAAATTTCTCAGCTCCACAGCCATGGCATTAAAGTCTGAAAGGATAGTACACCAACGCAGGATTTGTAGAGCTGACACAGAATGTAAAAATACATTCGTTTTCGTCATACCACCCTGTTTATTTCCTAACCTTTTGTCACGTTTTTTCATCCGCTTATTTAATCCGATTTCTTTTCTTCTCTTCTTTTACATCAGCACGTTTCACATAATTTTGGATATGTGATAGGGCCAAGCAAATCATTCATAACAAAGCATTTTCTGAATCATAGCAGCCTCTTTTTCTGCCTGTTTGCTACGTACTAGGGCATCTGGATGGTGACATTACTGTTCCAGGACTGGAAACGCTTTGCTCTTTTGAAGGACTGTGTATATCAATATACAAATAATTCATGAAACGTGCTCTCTGAAATGTGCATTTAGGGAAGTGAAAAAATTGTATGACTAAGATAAAGGAAACGTAAAATGCAAATTAATTATTTCGTTGCCCACGCACACGCACATTATTTTTCCTCTCCCTAATGTTTCTTTTATCAGATGTTGTTAAGTGACAAGACCGAGACAGGAAGAGATTGAACTCAAACGAACAAACAAAACTAGTGGGAATAATTGGCAGATTAAGCCATCACCCTGGGAAGTGGTACCTTTCCATTATCGAGTCCCATGGTCAAAAAGAAAATAATACGCAATACTAGCGCATGAATAACCCTAACATCATATTTAGTCCCTGAAGCTTAGGTGCGGGGGTGCTTCTCTTACCGCGTGTAGAGAGACACGGCTTTGCTTTGCCTTGCCATCCCTGAGCGGGACCCCTTCAATCTTTGCATCTGTCTTCCCTGCCCTGACTTAAAACTTCGTAAGATCCACCTTCTGCAAAGGGCACTGGGCACCCTCTGCTCATGCTAGCTGGACGGTGCAAAAAGTGACTTTTGGCTAAGCAGGGAAGTCAGAGCTTACTCCGTGTTCCAATTGCAGGCAGCACTACTACAAGCACTACCAACCATCTACACTCATAGAATGAAGAGGAGAGGGCTCGTTAAAGAGAAACACAAAAGGCTGTGGAGAGTTCAAGATGGGGAAAAAAAAAAAAGAACAAAAAAAATACTAATAAAAGGGATTAAAGGGAATCAGAAAGCTCTTAGAGGTTATCATTAGAAGAGGAGAAGAAAGGAGGCATCCTAAAAAAATGCGGCTGATAAATGTTCCTTACGTGCTTCTATGATAATTTATTATAGTACTTTATAATTAAGGATATGTAAAAGAAACCAGAATAATTTACAGGAACTCCACGTAGATATAATAGCTACCATTTTCAGAAGGGGTTAAAACTGGCATAATAGAGGAAGGAAACCTTAGCAGGGACTAACTGTGGTTAGGAGAAATGAGGTAAAACTAAGGAAAGAGAAAACAATATAAATAGGAGAAAACTTTTGGGCAGCTGATAAGTAGGAAAACGTTCTTGTGAGCCGTTTAAAAGAAAGGTGGGCAAAATAAGTGAACTGATTGATCAAGCAATGCATCAAAATTACGTGTACTTTCCATCAGCAAAAGTCTATTTCAGAACATGCTTTACACATCCTTCCTATAATCACTATATATAGGGAAACATCCTTCTTGAGCACTGACTTCAGTTTATCTTGGCAACCCATGGCAAGAACTTAACTTGCTATTAAGTGACGATTCAAAATCAAAGCAGATAATGGGTTAAAGCAGCAAAGTCAAAATTTCTATGCCAAGGGTGACTAGGGCGACAACGAGACGATCTTTCTCAGTACTAAGCCAGCCTTGGAGCAAGTTTCATCTTCTGCCAGTTTTAAAAGTTCAGTTAGAAA